AAACTGGGTGCAAGCTTCCACGCGTTCTCTCCCAGTGGAGTCACGCAGGACATGCTTAATTCCTCTAGCAACAAGTTGTGACAACATGTATGGCATGTTGTCTACCGGGGATGCTCATTAGCGATTCAGTGCTGAGGGTTTTTATTTGGCGCTAGTCACCTTGGAACCTTCTGCCTAGCATGTGCCAAAATTCCGATTCCCAGCAGGAAAGCAGATGTTCTGCATGGGCCCTATTGTTTGTACAAATAGCTGAGGCGTGGTGAGCCGCTCTTGCCAGTTCTGGGAATGGTGGGAACTCGCCTGAAATCCAAGTTTCCAGATATCAGCGAGGGGTCATCCTTACAAGTAGACATTCCTAAGGATGGCAGTCCCAAGACATGCTCTCTTAGCTTTTTTCTGCACAATAGAATGTTTTTGATAATCCAGGATTGAAAAAGTCATTTGTAAGCATGACTGGAAATTCAGAAACCATAAGAAGAGAGATTAATAAATTTTTATTTAAAATCTATTCATAAGTTATGAAAAGAAAATACTAGAGTCACAAGGAATACTAGGAAAAAGTATTTACAATATATGGAAGAAACGGGAGTTTTTTCCTCAATATGTTAAAGCTTTTACAAATCAGCAACTCAGGGCCTCCCTGGTGGCAAAAAGGGTTAAGCACAGCACTATGAAGCAATCTGCAGCCTTTGCAGCATGAGTTCAATCCCCTGTTGGCCAGGAAACAACCCACATAGCGCAGTAGACCTCTCCTGTCACGCCTGCTGCTCCCCTCAGTCAATATGCCTGTTCTGTTCCCCACTCTATCTCTGGTGAATCCTTTCACCCCACACATCTCTGGCCTGTATCCCAGCTCTTGTATGCATAAATAAATAAAAATCTTTTTAAAAAACCCCAACAAATCAGCAACTCAAAAGAAGAATAATTTGCCTAAGAAGAAATTTCAGTAAAAATCTGAAAAAGATACTTTACTTCAGTAATAAAGTAAACAACAGTATGATCTTCCTTCATCTATCATATTCAGCTAAGATTGATTACTCTGGGTGGGAGTAGATATAGGGAAATCAGTGTTTACACATTCTGCTGGTGGTGTAAACTAACACTACACTCCCTTTTCGAAGGGCATTTTCCCCAAATCTGTTAATCTTGATTATACTCATATGAGCACACAGATACACATGGGTAAGGATGTATCCTCTGGAACATTGTTTGTAGTAAAACTAGTAATAGAGGACTATACAAATAGGGGGCTAGTTATATAAATTAAACTACTTATGTAGACAAAGTTGCCATGCAGCCATCATCGGTTCTGTCTTTATGTAGTGCTGAGGAAAGAGATTTAAGATATTTCAGTGTATTTCATTTGATATTAAAATGTAACCTGAGTGGATATATGAAGTTCTTTATAATCTTTGATTATCCCATCCCATATGTTTTATTTCATTATGGGAGGATAGGGCTATTTGAAATACACAGCATTACACTATATTAATCATTTTAAAATCTGAAAAATTCTCACATATGTATATTATTCTCCAAGGGTTTCACGGAGAGAATTTGTGTTATTCAAAGGGGAAAAAAGGATGTCATATTTCCATTTTTAGGTTAAAATGTTAGTGTGTGATTAAGAAAAAATAATAGTTCGGAATATATTCCCCATATAACAGTGATCTGATATGGTAACGTCCTTAATTTTTTTATAAGTGAAATTAATTTGATAAATGTTTGAATAAGATAAAGTTGAAATTGTGGTGAGGATGAAACTTGTCCCTGAGTCTCAAATAGTGTTTGTCACATCTCAGGTATTTTTGTGATGATCTGATCTCAGTTCCTGCAACTAAAACTGAGTATGTGAAAGATGAACCTGAGTTTAGGTTCCTTATAAATTGTCAGAACATTTGGTGACATTGCTTCTTGTTTCTGAACAGATATTTTTGGAGACCTGGGCCTAATTTGGATTGTCTCTTTCATGAGTCTGTGTTTCCTGGGCTGTGGGTAAAGGTACAGGCTTCACATTCTTTTTGTGCTTCTAAAAACAGGATTCGAGGGCTGTACTGTTGCTAAGTCTTTACTCTGTATTTTGCTTGATTTGACAGGCTGAACAATTTAGTAGTTGACTTTATTTACACATAATTTACCTTTCTTTTCATAAAGTTTGAAGGTGTATCTCTAGAACATAGCTACGTGTCTAGAGCTCACAGTGTCAGTTACCTGGCTCCTCTGCAGAGGGCTGGCCTCATCCTCAGCTGCGCCCTGCCTGTTTTAGCCTGACTCCCACATTATGTTTGGTTCTCTTTCTGGCATTCCCATTGTAAGTAATTTTATTGTGTTTAGAATGTTATATTTTCCTTTCTAGTTAGGCACTATACTGGGTATGCATAGAAAGCACCCAAATAAGTAATTGTATGAAAAATGAAAGGGACCAGGTATCACCTGGTGTTTGAAGTCTCTGGCACAGATTCCCTAGTTTGTTATGAAGAATTTAACCTTCTGCCTTTTCCCATAGAGCAGTTCTTCTACAGTGTTTGTAACTAAAATCTGTAGGCATTCGTATATCGTGAAGTGATTACGGTGGTCAGCCTGTGATCTGTAAGATATTAAGGCGAGTCTCTTTGCCTGTAACTTCCACAAAAATGGTGAATTAAATTCTCCTTTCTTCAGAACTCCTTTTGCAATTACCAAATAAGAGCATTTGGTTAGTCAGCCTGCCTGCTTTTCCTCTCATCCCTCATTATTTTCTTCCTTTATTTTTAATTAAAAAGAAACAAACTGAAGACTATATTTCTTACAAGAGGTAGAGACTTTATATTTCATTTTTTTTTTTTTCCCATGAAGATGCTATTTCTCCTGCAGGATCTTACTCAGATTACTGTGTGTTGTTAGTTCTCCTATCACCTGTTGCCTCTGGTCTGTGGTGATGGTTTCTAGTCTTTATTTGTTTCTCATGATCTCAAAAGTCTTTATATCCCAGAATCTTGTCTCTCAGGTTTTTCTGATTTTTTTTTTGTGTGTGCATGTGTGTGTGTGTGTGTGTGTGTGTGTGTGTGTGTGAGAGAGAGATTAGAAGGGGGCTGTGCGTTTTGGAAGGGATACCACAGGGGTGGAACGCCCTGCTGGTCAGGGGTCAGGGCAGCCACATGCATCACTGATGACACATTCTATCACTTGGTGATGATACTATTTATCAGATTTCCCCTGTGTAAAGTTAACATTTCCCTTTTCCTTTATTTTTTGGAGTAAGTCTCTAAATCTATTCTGTCCTCTTGTAGGGGGAAGTATCTGCATATGTTACTATTTGGAATAAATATATTTGGAATTCTGTAAGAAAGACTTGTTTGCTTTCCCCAGTGTGTTTCATTATTCAGTCATTTATTTCTGTCAATATGGATTCATGTGTGGATTTATTTTATACTTGGTGTTATGATCCAGATTCCTCATAGGTCACAGTGGGGCTCTCATAGGCTGCCTCCTGTATCCCATTCATATGTAACAGACTCCATGTTCTTTCTGGCATTATAAGATGCTTCAGGTTTATTTTGCTTTTCCTGCTGCAGCCTTAGAATCAGCTGTTTTTTCAAGGAACCCGCTTCTTTTTTTTGGAGGGGGAAATGGCATTTTTATACAAGATTTGGTGTTGGATATGCTTATTGTTGGAAGGCTGTCTTTGCCTCTAGGTTGTCTCAGAATATCTGTCTCTCTTCCTTTAAAACATTAATTTGGAAAATTTCAAGCACATACAAAAGAATAAATTCTCAGTATCTATCATGCAGCATGAACAATAGAAGTGGTTAATCTTGTTTCATTCTTAATGGTTTCCTATTCTCATGCCATGTACAGTTATTATTTTTTAAATGAGATCCTATTTGAGGCTATGACTTTATAATAAAATTGTATGAACTTAAGGTATGTAATATGATTTGATACTCATGTATATAGTGAAATGATTACGGTTGTCAAGCTATTAACATTTTCTCATATAATTACCTTCTATTTTGTGATGAGGCATCTGAAATCTGTTCTTCTGGCAAATTTGTAGTGCACCCCTGATATCTAATGTAAGTCACAGTAGGCAACTATATTATTTTACCAGAAGTAGTTCAGTCTTTATTTCTGAAAACTAAAGTCTCTCTTAAATAAAATTTTAATTGAAGCATAATAGGTACAGTAGAAAGTATTAAAGTGTAGAATTCAGTGAATTTTTAGAAATGTCTCTCTTCTGTAACCATCATTCAGAGAGAGATATAGAATATTCCTTCAAAGGCTCACTGATCACCACATATAATTTTTGAAAGAACCTTTAAAAAGCAGCTATAGTTATAGTACCAATATGGCATCTAAAAAAGTAATAATAATTCCTTAAAATCATATATCCAGTCATTTGCAATCTGTTGGTTGAAGAAATAGAATTATATTGGTTGGTTGGTTTATATTTATCAGTTTGGGTGTTGCCGAGACCACCCCTCTCTGACCAGCCATCCCTGTTGTAATGTTTAACCTGTTTCTCTCTCAATGGTTTTCTTGGTGGAAACTTGTCTTATTCTGCTTAGGTAAATGAACACAGTATTGGGCAGTGATTCTTCTTTGGAGAAATGTTATCAGTAAGATATTTTCACCAAAGATGTATTGTCTCTGGTGTCTGATTAAATTGTTGCCTTACTCAGGTAGGTCTAGAGATTTCTTCAAAATCCTTGTATACTTTCTAGTGTCCAAATCTTTTTGGAAAACTGAAAAACCTTGTATGCAGAGGAGGAAATTTTGTTATTCCTTGCTGTGTTTTCCTCCCTGGTAGAGGCTATGTGACCAGGGCAGTTGTAAGGTAGTATGATTAAATAGTGAAGCTTTTAGTGTTGTTTCGTAGCTGTATTAGTTATCTGTATACAGGGCTGGCTATGGTGAAAAGTTCTGAGTGAAGTACAGAGAAGAGGATTAAATTATAAAAAAAATCAGTTTTGGTAGAATTTGATTTGCCTAAGTTCTCCTTTTTTCTTTTTATATTATAGATCAGCTTGAACGGGTCTTTTTACGACTTGGCCATGCTGAAACAGATGAACAGTTACAGAATATTATATCTAAATTTCTTCCTCCTGTTTTGCTCAAGCTGTCCAGCACCCAAGAAGGAGTACGTAAAAAGGTAAGCTGGTTGAGACTATTAGGGGAATTAAGTGGTAAATAAATGGTATATATTATCAAGTGAGTTTTCTATTCCCATTATTGAAAATCTAGGTTCATATGCGGATTATAACCTTTGAAAGTGGAGAATAAGCCTAGGACCAGCTTACGTGATGATTTTTTTTTTTTCAATTGAGGTAACACTCATGTACTATACTGTGTATATTTTTGGATTATAGGTTCACACCTTTTTAAATGTCTTTACTATCCCCACCCACCACCAGATTACTAATAACCCAGCACCACAGTCAGTTGGGTCTTTGTCCCCTTTGTTTATACCTTCCCCCCTCCCTCTGGTGACCTTATTTCTTTAGTTAGAATCCAAGGGTTTATTTGGTTGTAGCTAAATCTGTAACTAATTAATTTTATCTTTTCTTTTGCTTTGTTTCTTTATATTCCACACATGAGTGAAGTCATGTAGTGTTTGTGTTTTTCCTTTGACTTGACTTACTTCCCCTCCAATGCTTTGTTGTCACAAATGGAAAGATTTCGTCTTTTTTTCCTAGCTAAGTAGTATTCCATTATGTATATATGCCACATCTTTATCCACTCATCTGTTGTTGGGGGCCGTTTCCATATCTTGGCTATTCTAATAAATAGTGCTGCAGTGAACAAAGAAGTGCTCATATCCCTTTGAATTAGTGTTTTAATATTCTTCCATTTGATATCTAGGAATGAAATTGCCTGATTGTATGGTGGATCTATATTTAATGAGAAGAGTCCATACTGTTTTTCATAAAAGTAGATCATTCCCACCAACAGTTACTACCATCAGTGTATAGGAGTTCCTTTCTCTCTCTGCCTTTTCCAACACTTGCTTTTTCTGGTCTATTTGATATGGGCCTTTCTCACAGGTGTGAGTTGATATTTCTTTGTGGTTTTGATTTGCATTTCCCTGTTAGTAAGTGATGGTGAACATTTTTTTTTCATATGCCTGTTGGCCATCTGTATGACTTCTTTGGAGGAGTGTCTATTTAGCTCTTGTGCTATTTTTTGATTTTTTTTTAAAGATTTATTTATTTATATAAGAACCGGGGTACAGGCCAGATGCACGGGAGGGTGAGAGAATTCACCAGAGACAGAGTGAGGAACAGAACAGGCAGACTGACTGAAACACACTGCTGAGAGGAACAGCGGGAGAGACAGGAGAGGTCTGCAGCGCCATGTGGGACCCTCGCAGGCCGGCTGTGATCAAACCGGTGCCGTAGAGACTGTAGACAGCTTCACAGCACGGTGCTCAACCGCCTGCGCCTCCAGGGGAGGCCCTGATTTTTTTAAAAAAAGATTTATTTATTTATGCATACAAGAGCTGGGGTACAGGCCAGAGATGCGGAGGGCTGAGAGGATCCACCAGAGACAGAGTGGGGAACAGAACAGGCAGACTGACTAAAATACACTGCTGAGGGGAGCAGTGGGCGAGACAGGAGAGGTCTGCCTCCCCATGTGAGTTTCTCCCTGGCCGGCGGAGGGGGATCGAACTTGTGCTGCAGAGGCTGTGGACTGCCCCATAGTGCAGTGCTTACCCGCCTGCGCCACCAAGGAGGCCCTGATTGGGTTGTTTTTGAGTTGTATAAATTCTTTATAAATCCTGGCTATTTACTCCTTGTTAGATGTATGAAGTACAAATATTTTATCCCGTTCAGTAGACTGTCTTTTTGTTTTAATGATGGTTTCTTTCATTTTGCAGGCAGTTTATATGATTTTAAAATAGCTTTTGTATGCTTAGTAGAGCTGCATACCGCGCCAACTGTACACTTGGCATCGGTGCCAGATGATATAATTGAAATAATTATTTTGGAATGTATGGCGACTTGATCTAAAATCCATGCCCTTGATTCCAATATGAAAGTCAGGTATTTTTAATTATTGGCTGACTGTGAATGTTACCTTAATTAAAAGTAAGTAAATAAATGTTTTTAGAGCAAGATAATGTTGTATAGCTCCTCTTTCAGGGTTATATAAAATAGTGTTATTGAAGTTGGAAAACTGTCACATCAAGATTTTCTTTTTTAATTCAGTGTTCTACATGGAACATTTGCTCCAGTCATTTTTAACATAGTTCATTAGTCTTCAGTGTATTTATACTGGACCATCAGATCTTTGAGTGGTCATCAAATTTCATCCCTTAGGTCATTCTAAGTGATTGACAATGACTTCCTGCAGAACTGCCCTGAGAGGAATTCTGAGGCCTGATTTGGGTTTGTTGGAGAAAGAGTATCTTTAAGAATGTCTGTTATGTTTGCAGAATGGAATGGTGCATTCTTGTTCTATATTTGATATGCCTGCTGTTAATACTGCTTTGCTGACACACATATATATGTATGTATGTGTATTTGATCATGTCATCCTTCTATTTAAAACTCTTCTCATGGCCTTCTGCTGCCCTTAGGATAATAAGTTATAAAGGGTTCTTCATGAGTTGGTTTCTGTTTATTTGTTTAGCTTTCATCAGTCTCATCATTCTTTTGACAGATATTTACTGAGTGTCTTTTACATGCCAGGTGTTAGGATTACATTGGTGAATGAAAAATAAACCACATTTAGTTGGGGAGATCAGTATTAAACAGTCAGGCAAATAGCATAAATTATAAATTATGATATGTGCTGATGGGAAAGGATTCTTAAAAAAATCTTTGGGGGCTCACTTTAGGTTGAGTGGGGCAAAAGTGAGGCCTCTGTGGTGTGTAGAGAGGTAACTGCTGATGGCACAACGAGTGAGACAGGTAAAGACACAGGCACAGTGCTGAGATCCTGAGCTTTCACAGAGTGTGAAGGCTTCACGAGACTAGAGAGGGCCACTCAATGCAGGAGAGGAAGAGTGATGGGAGGTCAGGTGTGGGGAGGAACAGGGATTCCAGTGTGCAGTGATTTGAAGGGTATTGGTTGGGAGTGACTCAGACACTGTCTACTGGCGGAGAAAGACTTGCGGTAGAGACCAGGAGACTCAACAGAAGGAAGTTTTTGCATTTGTTCAGGCTATTTTCAGTAGTAGTTTTTTTTTTTCCTTACCTTCTTACTTAGGATTTTATGTTTCCTTGTATTTTACCTTTTTGTACAAAGTAATATCTAACTACTATCTAACTACTAACTTGTACAAAGGAATATCTAATATCTAAATGTTTAGTTTTTTTATTCAACTATCATGCTATTATGACACCTCATATTCTTATAGTCAAATGGAGACATTCCATTTTCATTTCTAATTTTATTGATTACTACTGCCCAAGGTTTAATCTTTTTTATGAGCCATTTTAAAAGAAAAACCAACTTCTAGATTAATTTTCCTTTTTAAGGTATATTTAATAAAAATTATTGTGTTCAAATTATTCCTCTTTGTTTTGGTTTGGTATGTTTTTCTCACCTAAGTTTAATAGTGGTAATGCTATTATGTGTGAGTAGACGCGCTAAGCTCTTAAATTCTCACAAGGTTATATAAGGAAGGTATTATCCTATTTTTATCCCTCAGATAACTTGTTTTAAGGTCAGATAACAAGTACTTGAGGCAGAATTTGAACCCAGGGTGCTAAAATTTCAAAATGTGAGCTTGGTTAGTCCCCAGATAATTGCTTAGTTCTTTGATTGTACAGATTATATTTCTTAAAGCTCACAGAACCAAAAATTACCTTAGTTTATGAATTTCTCTTTAATTATTACCTGGTTATACTCAATAGTTATGTTTATAAGCAGTGCTTGGTTTACTTTTGACTTAGTATTAGTTTATAAGAACTTTTTTTTTTTTTAAAAAAAAACTAGTCCTTTATTGTAAGATTTTTATTTTATTTGTTTTTGCACAGAAGAACTGGGTTGTAGGCCAGAGGTATGGGGGTGTGAGAGGATTCACCAGAGACAGAGATGGGAGCAGAACAGGCAGATCCACTGAAATACACTGCAGAGGGGAGCAGCAGGTGAGACAGGAGAGGTCTGCTGTGCCATGTGGGTCAGCTCCCTGCCTGGATCAAACCCAGACCACTTTTTGGGAGGGCCTTCATGATGGTGTTAGCGCTGCTGAGATTTAACCCCTTGGCCACCAGGGAGGCCCAAGAACATTGTTTTTGGTTAAAAATATTCAGTGTGTGGGCCTCCCCTGGTGGCACAGTGGTTGAGCGCTGGGCTGCAAGGCTGCCGGCAGCCTCTGCAGTGCCAGTTCGATCCCCGGCCGCCTGCGAGGGTCACACACACACACACACACACACAAAAAGAAAAATTCAGTGTGCAATTTACCTGATTTTACTGCATTCTGATTTGCATTTGTACTGTGCAATTGCTCTTCCTTTTAAGGTATATTATTTATGTTGTTTATAAAACAGATACTGCTGGTAGAAGTATAAATTAATATTACCACTTTTGGAAAATGGTTCGAAAATATTCCCAAGCTTATCATATGTGTTTCCTGTGACAGATCATTTCAAACCCTGGGTCTCTATACTACAGAAATATGCATATATGATCACCAAAATAAATATCTAATAATGTTCATAGAAGTGTTGTTAATAACCCAAACTGGAAATAATCTAATGTCCATAATTGTAGAATTCATAAATAGTGGTGTTTTCATTACTGGAGTAATGAAAGTAAAAAACTTCTATAAGCAACAATGTGGATAAATCTCAAATATAATGTAGAATGAAAAAACATTCAGACACATGAGTTCATCCTGTATATCCATTTGTATAAATTTAAAAATAGTATTGGAAGTCAAGACATTGGTTATCTTCTAGTAAGGAGTGGTTATCTTCTAGTGAGTAAGGGATAGGAGCATGGGATGCAGACTTTTGTGGTTCAGTTCTGCTGGTTATATAGGTGTGTTTATTTGGTGAAAATGTTGGGACAGTTTATGTTATACTTAAGTTATAACAATAATTTAGCAAAATAATGAACAGCTATTAAGATAACAGATTTGGACAAAATACTCGACCCCTGAGCTTTTTATTTCTGGGGGCTTATTGATAGAGGTTAACTGTTATCTCTTTATCCAGCAGGAAGGACTGATTCTGCTGACTTCTTGATTTTTATGAACTTACAGAGGATTCCAGAGAATGGATAACCAAATTTAGAAAATTAATCTTTAAGGGGATATTATTGCTAAAAGGAAATTAAGTAGTTAATTCTTTTAAAATTTAAAAATTTGTCATAAAAAGAAAGCATGGGGTCATGAATATGATGTCTAGCATCCTTAATAATGGTTTTCCAGAGTCTTTCCTTTCCATGGAGACCCATTCTGGGTCTCTGTAAAGTATTAGGGGGTCCTGAGATGACTCAGCTGGCCAGACACTTTAGATGAGTAGAGCTCAACTATCAGTGTTTGAAAAGGTTAAGGATATGAACCCTGGGGCCTCCCCTGGTGGCGCAGCGGATGAGCGCTGGGTTGCGAGGCTGCCCGCAGTCTCTGCAGCGCCAGTTTGATCCCTGGCCACCGGTGAGGGGCCCACAAAAAAAAAAAAAAAAAAGGGCCCTGGAGTCAAATCTAGACAGTGCCACTTGTTGAGTGGGTGTCCTTGGACAAGTTATTCCACTCCCCTGAGCCTCTGCTTTCTCACTTGTAAAATGGAGTGGCAAACCATCTCTGGTGAGGATCAGATGAGATAAGGAATGCAAAGTGCACAAGTATCTTTTGCATAGGAACTGCTTAATAAATGTCACTTATTTTATTATTATCATTCATTTAACATTTAACTTTGATTATAGGTTTGTTGTTACTCTTAAAATTCATCGATTTCATTATTGCTGTAAATTCCTTTGAACTTTTGCTGTTGTTTTGAACATCCTTACGACTCTTGTTAATACTTGTTTTGAAACTATAGCATAAATCAGAAATGATGTTAATATGGGCCTGTTTCTCCAGAATAGATATTTTAAATTCTTGAGTCTTTCTTAGGTGAGGTTTTCTATTTGTAACCTTTCTTGCCTCTCTCTCACCAAGATAATCTGACTTTTATTGTAAGATTGAGGCCATTTGACATAAGCATCTGTATCTTCCTTTTCACCCATGGAAATCGTTGACTTGTTGACCTCTATTTCTGCTCTTTTTTTCCCACTTAAAGGAGAGGAAGATTGTTTTTACTTACTGAAAATTATTTGGTAAAATCAGGTGATCTTCAGAATAAAGTAAAAATTCCTCAGCATTGTACCCGAATCCTTTTATAATCCTGAGTCTATCTCTTTCCCCTCTGTCTTCAGCAGATACGGTGTATGTTCCATGTTCTGTTAGAGTTTTTCCCTACTTCCTCTTGGATTTCTTGCTCTGATAGATAATTTCTCTTCTGGAAACACATAGTGTACATTTCACTTTTTGTAGTATCCATAGTGTGCCTTAGTTTGGATTGCTATAACTGAATGCCATAGGATGGGTGACTTAAACAACAAACATTCTTTTGTCACAGTTCTGGGGGCTAGGAGTCTGAGATCAGGGTGCCAGCATGGTCACATTCTTCTGGAGAAACTGCATGGTTTGCAGAGGGCTCCCTTCTTGCTCTATCCCCATGTGGCAGAGAGAACTTTGAGCCTTTCATCCCCTGTTAAGAATACACAATCCTATCTTGACGGCTCCATCCCATGACCTTGTCCAAACCTAACCACCTCCCCAAACCATCACATGGGGAACTAGAGGTTGAAAATACGAGTTTTGGGAAGGCAAAAACATTTGAGTCCATAAATGGTATGTTGCAGTCATTTGTTTATAGGTCTTCTGGGGATTGTGAAAATAAATTCACTAGTAAAATTCTGGCGTATGGAATCTTGGGGGTACCATTTTGGAATAAAATTTTGATACTTATTTTATGGGATGTCAAATTTTATTTTTCAAGAGAACAAAGTAACTGCCACTCATCAAAATAAGTAATACCAAGAAAAGTGAATTTGCTTTTAATAAGGTAGGCTCATTCATTTTGGTCCTTATCTCTGTTTTAGGTTATGGAACTGTTGGTCCATCTGAATAAGCGTATAAAAAGTCGCCCAAAAATACAGCTACCAGTAGAGACACTATTGGTTCAGTACCAGGACCCTGCTGCAGTTTCCTTTGTCACAGTGAGTGCTATTGTGCAATGCTTTCTGACTTACAGTAAGTTTTCTTGCAGCACTTATCAGATGTCATCAATATATTGGCAAGCTTAAGATTTCACCTTAGTTTCTAAATGAAACATAAGATGTTTGTGTTTATTTATATATTTTTTTTAAGATTTATATATTTATGTATACAAGAACTGGAGTACAGGGCAGAGGTGTGGAGGGTGAGAGGATTCACCAGCAACAGAATGGGGAACAGAACAGTCAGATCAACTGAAGTACACTGCTGAGGGGAGCAGCGGGAGAGTCAGGAGAGGTCTGCTGTGCCTTGTGGGTTGCTCCCGGGCCGGGGATCGAACTCGTGCTGCAGTGGGTGCGGACAGCTTCTTGGTTGCGTGTTAACCCCTTGCGCCACCAGGGAAGCCCCAGGTGTTTATCTTTAAATGACACACTTTTCCCACTGTGTACCAGCCCAGAAAAAATATTTACCTTAAAGGAAATGGGAGGAACAGTATAATACGTGGCTGTTTACACTGGGCAAAGGATTGTTGGTGAAGTCACTTGTCAGGTACATTTATATATAAGAGAATAATTACTTCTTGGTAAAGATTATATGAAATCAGTTTGAGTAGAAATAAGAGTTTAATGTAGTGTAGGTGTGAATAAAGGTAGAAGAAGAAAAGGTCCAATGGCAAGAAGAAATTGGGAGACTGAATTAAAAATCTGTGTTCCTGAACTGTATATACGTATATACTCAGAAAGTTATACTTTCAAAAAAGTGGAGTAAACAGAGGTTGGTAAGACGTATTTCTGTTGTCATCTTCATAAAAATTCAGGGTAAAGAATGTTGATGCGGTATGATGACAGATGTTCTTTTTTGATCCCTGTTGTTCCTAGCGTTAAGGCTGAATCTTGTTGGGGTTTATCTAACATCTGGATCCTAAACCTTTGGAGACACCTACTGACTTAGAAATCTTGTCGGTGCCTATTCTGGACATACAGCTTCTTTGCAGTTGTCCTTTCAGCAAATAGAAACATTGCCAATAAAACTGGAAATAGAATCTCTTCAGAGGAATAACCTTATAAAATCTGTTCTAAACCGATAAGCCCTTCAGAAAAACAAACCTTTGTCTTATATATAAATCCAGATATACATTCAGGAGTTTGCTTAAAACGAGGCACTCAGTTTCTTTTGGTTCATTATCTCCTGGTCAGTTGTGGGAGTGAGGAGGCAGAGGGCTGCGGTGTACAAGGGGGTCCTAATGCTTGGCCAGCTGGGAAATGGCAGCTTTGGCTTTGCGCCTGTAGTTTCCTTTTAGCTTGGAAGAATTGATGCGGTAGACTGGGAGAACTGATGCTAATGTGTGGCGTACAGATTTAGTGAAATGACAACTTTTGCTTTTCAGTGAAAAGGAACTACATGTATTTATTCTACTCCTCCGGCTTTCTGGAGGCATGGTTAACAGAAAAATTGTGTGTCTTTAAAGTGTACAGGTCCGGTACATGAGCTTTAGATTAGGTCACGTGCCCTCTCATGAGGCGCCTGTGAGCAGATGTTTTGAGTAAGTGGGACTGGAATTCTTGCTGAGCTGTAGTAGTTGGCCAAGCTATAATAAACACGTATGAACGTGTGGGTTTCTTTTTTATAAATGTAACTCCCTAAGTTATTAGCCATAGAATTTTGTTGAAATTCTGGAATATTGTCTGCATTCTCACTTGCTTTTCTCTTATTATATTAGAATTTTACTATAATTTATGTTAAGATGGGCTATCCTCGCCTGCCAGTGGAAAAACAATGTGAACTGGCCCCTACGCTTCTTACTGCCATGGAAGGGAAGCCCCAGCCACAGCAGGATAGGTATGGTCTCCCAAATTACTTTCTTACCTGCAAATGTTAATAGCTGCCTTTCAAATTAGGTCTGCATATTTGGTTTCACTTGGACAAATGCGTACACTTAAACTCTTTCAGCCGACAAATAATTGAATTTTCTGTTACCTTAACATTATCATCTTATTAATACTATTATAAAATTTTTGGATAAGAGCATATTAAAAATGTGCAGAACTAACAACATTACGTGTATTATGGCCATCAGTTATTTTGAAGCAGCTAATTTGATGTGATATTGAAAGTTAGAAAATGACATAGAAACAGTAATTCTAAAAGGCACCTGCACCCCTATGTTTATAGCAGCACTATTTACAATAGCTGAGCTATGGAAGCAACCCAAATGCCCCGAAACAGATGACTGGATCAAGAAGATGTGGTACATATACACAATGGAATATTACTCAGCAATCAGAAAAGATAAACACATGCAGTTTGCAGCAACATGGATGGAGCTAGAAGGGGTCATGCTCAGCGAAATGAGTCAGAAAGAAAAAGAAAAATACCGGATGGTCTCACTCATAGCAGGAATTTAGAAAACCTAAATAAGGGACCAGGAAAAAGACTAATCAATACAAAGTAAAAATCAAAATCAACAAGCCACTATAAACCAGAGGCACACTACCGGGGAGGGGAGTGGTAGGGAGGGGCAAGGAAAGGAAGGACTAGAGTCAGAATAAGGAGGGGGCGTGTAAGTGTATGGGGAATATAACCAAAATGAAAATACATACATTGTGCAAAGATGAAAAAAGATATAAGAATTATATAAAATAAAATATTTAAAGAAAAAAAGAGTTACGCAATGCTTAATGTCGAAACATTTCTATTCTGGAAAATGTAAAATTACAGAGTAGTTGTCTTAAGAAACAGATCACCTGATTATATTAATATGGAAAAAGGAGAGGTGAAAAAGAGGTTTAGATGACAGCTTTAGTTTCTAGGCTTAGCCCAGAAGTCTGCATTATGGCCTCTCAGTGGTGAGAGTCACAGTAAAGAGTGCAGAAGTCATGGAGGAAGGGTGATACTAAATGGTGTCTTCATTTATTTTTTCAAGCATGCACATTTTTAATAGAGACTGTAATTTGTAGTCAGTACAAATTAATAAGCATTTACAAGTGCCTTTTGAAATTGTTTTCATGTGTTTTAAGCATAACAAGTAGTGTAGTGAAAGAAGGAATTACTGAAGCCACATTACTTAAATTCACAGTAGAAACCTCAATATTCAAAATATTGACAAGATTAATTTTTAATTTCTTTAGATTTAGAATAAGTTCAATTTAATTAACTTTGGAAGAAAAAAATTTTACTGAAAGGAAATGTTCTAAGTTAAACTTTAAGGTTTCATTTGAAATCTCTTATGGTAACTTCAGGTATTAATACTGAATCATATTATGTACTTTATTCCAAGGCATTTTTAGTGATGTGTCAGATTGGCTAAATCCCAAGTACCACTCAGTACATTGAGCTTTCAACAAGAAAGAAATCTGGGCCAGTTCCTGGATTAATACTTTGCACGTTAGTGGTATTGAAAATGAATGGCCCTACTACAGTTGCTACTTGTTGAGTTGTGGTTTTTGTTTGGTCTGTTATTTGCATGTATGAAAACCTTATTTTTTAAAGTAGTTGCAATAAATGTAATTGTTTTTTCAGCTTAATGCATCTTTTAATACCAACCCTTTTTCACATGAAATACCCTGTTGAATCATCAAAATCAGCTTCTCCGTTTAATCTTGCTGAGAAACCAAAGACTGTGCAGCTGCTTTTGGACTTCATGCTAGATGTCCTTCTGATGCCTTATGGGTAAGTTAAAAAAGTGAAAACAAAATAAAGCAGCCTTGTTCTTGAGTGAGTGAAGAACTATTTTTAATGATTCAACGTTCACTTAAAAGTGGATGTGTCTCAAATTCTGTTTGCTGCAGCTCCGACTGCATGGCCTGTTGGCCATATATATAGGTTTGAAGTTGCTGTTGTGATTTCAGACTCACCCTGTCCAAGCTGAAATGTCTTCTCTTATAAAATAATTCCTCTCCTTTAATCATTACCAGTGCTATGATGATTTTGCTAGTTGTCTAGGCTTACAATTATAAATTGAATCCAGTTTTTCCTTGTTGTTACAATATCAATTTCATAGTAACGCCTCCCTCCTTGATATGTCCTGGAACTGTCCCCACTGATATCATCTATTATTGTGGCTCTGTTCAGCTCTTATCATGATGTTTTCTTCAGCTGCTTTCTCACAACTTTCTACCCTGCTATAGAGTTTCCATATTTTTAAAACACAGATCTTATCAGTTCACATCTTAAAATACTTGGGCTATTATTTTACAGTTATTAAACACACTCAAGTTTACACAGTCTCTATTTTTCAAGAAAATATAGGTCTCTCCTATGTGCAATGCTTCCCTATGAAAAATAAAGAAGGAAAACAAGAAATGCCAACTGAAAAAAGTCACTTTGAAAAAGTGTTCCAAACTAGCTTAGCTGCACCCCGTGTGTATCTCTGACTTCTTGCCCTAGACAGGGTCACTGTTGTCCATAACTAGATGCCCTTCTGTATTGCCACTTTGTGTCTGTCGCATTGTTGACATGTGCCTCTTCCCTAATAGATTTGGAGTTCTTGAAGTCAGGAGCTGTTTCATCTCTCTCTGCCCCTGCCACAGTGCACATTGTGAAATGCTCCCAACTTACTTATTTTGTAGGCTGTCCTGCTTTAAGAGAGAGTTTTCTAAAATTCTGCTTCTACCAAGTTTCTTCCTTGATCACACATATAATAGATATTGGTAGCCTTTTCAGATAGAAAATTTTTCCTGATAATAAAATTTAACTTCATTGTTTATTCATTTGGAAAAGTATGTGCAAGTCTTTATAGAGACATTAACTTTTTATTTTTTAATTTTTTTATAGTTTAGTTTTTTATTAATTTTTTAATTTTTTACATCATTTTTCATTTTTAAACAATATTTGCTTGCCCCAACCCCCTCAGGTGTATATTCCCCATAGAGTTTCCTTCACCAATGTACCCGTGTACCATCACCTCAGTCCCCTGTGCTCCTCCCTCCCTTCCTCTGATCCCTCTCCCTGTTCCTCCCTTGTTAGAGACATTAACTTTTTATCTCTTTTCCAGATATGTGTTAAATGAATCCCAGAGTCGCCAAAATTCATCTTCAGCACAGAGTTCTTCTTCAAATAGCGGGGGAGGTTCTGGAATCCCACAGCCTCCCCCTGGAATGAGCTTTTATGCAGCTAAACGAGTTATTGGTGATAATCCCTGGACACCTGAACAGTTGGAACAGGTATCCATCCCACATGCTTGTTCATAATGGCACCTCTACACACTCACCCCTGTGAAGTTGATGAAAGCATGTGCGACATGGTTCTAGTCTTTTCAGATTCTCTCGTGAAATAGCTTTAAAAGGAGCAATTGATGTAATGCTCCCTTCATTATGTCAGTTATTTGTTAAAGCTCCAGGGAAAGGGAGGAGTGGGGTATGCGCTTCAGTTTTTCTAAACAACTTACATATTGCAAGTACAAAATACAGCCCATTTATAGCTTGAGTATATTCAACTTCTTTCATTTTAGTTTTTAATTATAGGTCTGATAACTATCCAGCTGCTTTGATTTAGCTAGAATATAATTTATTTTAACATTATTCAGCCTTTTAGGGCTGTACATTTTGAGTAAAGTGAGGAACTTTAATAAGAAAGAAATCTAGGCCAGTTCCTGGATTAATACTTTGTACATTGGTGTTATTGAAAATGAATGTACTTCACAAGGGACAATATGGGGAAAAAAGCATGACTCCCTTTTATATTTCTTACTGGGAATTAAAAAAATTGGCATTAAGAATTTTATTCTGGATTTAAACAGGACACAGATGTTCTCTGAGCAGCTTTTATAAAAGACTGGTGCTCTACAGAGAAGGTGCCTCACTGTGTCTGTGTCATCAGGCACCTCAGGGAAGAACAGATGAGATCAGTATGTAATTATTTTGGAATTCAAGCAACATGGGTTAGTCTTCCAATCCTTCCTTTATCTCTCCATGGTAGTGTAAATGCCTTGATCCTTTTTTTTGGGGGAATGTAAGTGACCACTGCTCAAAACAAGTGTTTCCAAGAGAGGGAAAATGGCAATCGGGGCATTCTTGTCACAATTTATAGAATGATTTGTTCATCACGGTTAAGTTTGATTAGATTGCCTCCTTCTTGTTTTATGGAGTTTTTTCTTCCTTAAACCATAATGTAAGTAAGAAAGGTAAATAGTAACAGAAACTGTGCTTTATAATTACCTGTGTGGCAGGTACTATACTGAATACTTTAAATACATTATCTCATTTAATTCTCACAGCAACCCAATGAACTGTAGAAATTGTTTCCATTTTTTAAAAGGAACTGAGATTTTGACATTCATCATGTTCTGACTCCTAGGCTTTGAATCTAAGTCTGCTTAGGGGTAAATCTATAAGTTCTGTAATATAATATATAATTTTTAACATTAAATTGTCATCTTTTATTGGTCATTATTTGCTAATTTCTAAGGGCGTCTATGATGTTTGTCAATTTCATAATCTGGTGTTCAAATGAAGAGTTTAGTTTTAAGGATGAAAGTGCTTTTCTTCTAATTTTTTTTAAAGAAAGATTTATTTTTTATTTATACAATAGCTGGGGTATAGGCCAGAGGTGCGGGAGGGCAAGAGGATTCAATAGAGACAGAATGGGGAGCAGAACAGGCAGACAGACCGAAAGCACTGCTGAGGGGAGCAGGTGTGACAGGAGAAGTCTACCCCGCCATGTGGGAATCTCCCTGGCTGACCGGGAATCGAACCCACACTGCAGGGGCTGCGGACAGCTTCACAACCTTTTGCTCAACGCAATGTGCCACCAGGGAGGCCCGCTTTTCTTCTAATTTTTAAGTGTCTTTTGTATCACACTTTTTCTTCCAGATAAAACAACTTTCGTGGGTTTTTTTTTTTTTTGATGATAAAGCTAAGATTCAAGTAGTAAAGAAAATTGTTAAGAAAAATTAATTACCTGGAATTCTACCAACTCTAGTTTGTCATTCATCTGAATCTTGTGTGTGTGTACACAAAATTTTGCATAACACATTTTTTATGTGTCATATAATATTTTATTTGTAGTTCACTGTTTTCATTTTACTTTATATCAGGTTTTAAAAAGTCATCTTTTTAAAAGTCTATATAATCAGTCATTTGTAGCAAAATTCATAGCTCTTTCACATTGCATGTCTGTCTTCAGTGTGTGTTCATTTGAGCTTGTTGATTAGATTGAAAACTGATTAGAATTTCTCTTGCATTGATGCAAGTGCATTTAAAATCAGACTGTTTTTAGTATATAAGAATATTGAGGACAAGAATGAATGTTAACAGTAGAGTAGAGGGGACTCCGTGAACTGTGGGTTGTTTAGTTCTTTCTGGATTGTCTTAACAATCCGTGGAGCACTTTATTCCTAATATACTGCTATTTTACCTGGAGTCTCCAGATTTGGAGTACAGTTTAAGGTGTTATCATTGTAGAAGCTACGTAAACTAAATAGGAAGTCTGGGTATCAAAATGGCCTGGAGTCTGAGAACTTGAATTTTAATTCTGCTGTTATCATTTACAATGTGTCTTCATCTCTTGCCTCAGTTTCCTCATTGAGAAATGGGTATAATAATTCTTACTTTGTAGATTGTGAGGGTTAAATGAAATCATGAATATATTTGGTTTAGTATAATCCCTAGCACATTGTAAGACTTAAAGAGGAACTGCTACTTTGTTATTACTAATCCTTGGTTTATGACCTAATACATTAAACTGTTTTTGGCTGGTGTTTTTTCTCTGTTCCTGTTCTCTGTTCGATTATCACTGTTTTTCCTTCCCTTTATTTGTCTCCAGTGCAAATTGGGCATAGTGAAATTCATTGAAGCTGAGCAGGTGCCTGAACTCGAAGCTGTTCTCCACCTGGTGATTGCTTCTAGTGACACACGCCACAGTGTCGCAACGGCCGCGGATCTAGAATTGAAAAGCAAGCAAAGGTAAACTACTTCCTTTCAAAATTTCAAAATTGAAAATAACTAGATTTATAAAAGCTTGCTTAACATTGTTTGTTATTTTAAGATTTTGTGTGATGAGACATTCAATTTATGCGACTATGAAATATAACTTGATAGTAATACAGTTTTGCTAAAGACCAGAATTCTGTGTAAGGCAAGAAGAAAGCTGTTTGGAGATGCAGTTAAAAACAGGAATGGGTCAGGAACGTTACCATAAGAAATGAGACCTTTGAGGTCTCCCCGGTGATGCAGTGGTTGAGTGCTGGGTTGCCAAGCTGCCCGCCACTGCAGCACCAGTTGGATCCCCTGCCGCTGGGCGAGGGTCCCATGTGGTGCTCAGACCTCTCCTGCCGCGCCCGCTGCTCCCCTCAGCAGTGTATTTTGGTCCTTCTGCCTGTTCTAACCCCGCTCTGGCTCTGGTGAATTCTCTCACCCTCCCGTGCTTTTGACTGTACCCAGTGCTTGTATTAAAAAAAAAAAAAAAAAAAAAGAGAGATCTTTGACTCGATAAATGAACTGATATTAGGAAAAATGTCAAAACCCAGAGGCTAATCAGTTTTGATTCATCTTTTATCACAAACCTTTCGATTGCTTTTAAAAAGGTTATGTCAGTATTGTGATTAATAAAATGAAAGTTGGACCTGAAAAGAGAAGTGCTGATTAGATCATAATCCACACAGGAGCAAGCACAGGTAGTAGGTAGCCTCACAGAAGATACATGAGAAATCAAATTAATACGAAATAATGCACTGGAATAGCAGTTTGTATCCAGTGGTAATAAAGTTGAGTAACAGTTGATAACTCCACTTAGGTTTCTGTTGAAACTATTCTTATGTACCCTGTTGATTGGCATCATGAATTGAAGTACTTTTTAGAAAGCTATTTGTGGTAAGTAGTGAATCATAAAAATATTTATAACCTTTCATCCAAATCTTCTGGGAATTTATACTAAGGGAATCATTGAAAATAAGAAAAAATATTTAGAAAAAATGGTACAGATTTGTTCATTATGCCGTTTCCTATAATTATAACAAATTCAGATTTCTAAGACATGACATGGAAATAGTTAAGTAAATTAACTGTATCTTTATGGAATGTTATTTATTTACTAGCATAATTTTAAAAATAATAAAGGAGCATGTAAATTTTCACCAATGAGAGCAAACCAGTAAAGCAGAATACAGAATTATATTTGTATGGATTTAAAACTTGACATGTGAAAGACTGAAGCATAAAATGAAAAATTGTAGGTACTTGGCTGAAAACTAAAATTATAGAAGTTTTTTTAAAGAACATTTTAATGCTTAATGTGATAGATAACATGCTAGAAGACTGGATAAGATAATAACGCTTTTTAAAGATTGCACATACCAGTTTCCCCTCTTCAAAGAAGCCTTTGCAACTATGTGTAACAGGATAAGGAAATGAACTTCATGGTATCTTAGTTTGCTTATTGAGATATTAGCAAACTGTGTGTGTGCGGGGTAGGGAATAGTTTACACTGAAGGGCATGTGAGGCCTCATAGAGGAGAATCGTTTTAATTATGGAGTTGATTCTGGTTCTGCCTCTTGTTGATTGTCGGCATTTGGAGCACTCACTTAACCTTGTCAGGTCTATAACTCTGTAAAATAAGAAAGTCGAACTACTTTGGACTTAAGTGTAAGTCCACTTAAGTGTAAGTCCAGTATCTCCCTTTCAAGACCAATATCCATTTATGCTGCTAATAACCACATCTTCCTAGTATCCTTAGAAAGGAATTTGTTTTTGTTCTATCGAAAGTCTTTTTAAAAACTCCTTGTGTTTAAATTGATCCTATTCTTTGTACCATATAGTGGATGGAATTGTTGGGAATACAATTATGGTGCTTAAGCATTCTAATTAGTTGTGCTTTTGTCTATTTTAAAACAAGTGTAGGCATTTTTCAATAATAACACTTTAATTTTTTTTAATAGCTGGACTTTATTGGATATAACTGATTGCCATATCATTAGCAAAGATGGTACCAAATCATGTTTTTCTCTTGTGTGTGAATTTTCTAAGTTGCCATTATTTGAGTTGATTTGATATTTCTATTAAAGGAGGTACATAATTCCTATTCAGATGATATCCTTAAAGAATTTGTTGAAGGTAAAACAAAACTAAGAAGCTTATTCTAAATTGTACTGGTTTAAAAAAAAAATATATATATATAGTTACCACAGTAAAAATTCAAGCTTTCATTTAACTTATTAAAATTTGTGATTCTTTTCTACTAATTAAAACCCTTGTTGATGTATCATAAAAAGTACTCTGTGTTCTACTAGACTCCTCTGAAAGTATAAAAAAGAAAGAAAGTAAACTGTATTTTCCTTCCCTTCTACTTATCTCCTGATTCAAATACGTAACTTTTGCAGTCAGCTAAAAAACACAAAATTTTAACATTAAAACATTGTTAAGAGAGGAAAAAGTGAGTTGAGAACAATATGTAGATATTACCCCATTTTGTTAAAGAAGAATCTGAAAGTACTTCTTCAAGTGATGCATCTGTTTGTTATCTATTTCTTCACTACCTGCCTGTTGTACCCATTCACCTATTTTACATTCATTGATGTCTAGAAAAAGATACACCAAAGTTAGCGGTTACTGAAGAGGAATAGAGAGAGAGAGAATGTGACACAGATTATAAGGAATTATATTTTCTATATTCATTTCTGAATTTTCAAAACAAACATGCAATCAGGAAATTAAAATTAAAAAGATGGCAAGAGGAAAAATAGAAGAAAACAGTGAAAATTGTCTTTATTAGTTAACCATTATTAACTTTTAGGGAAATGCCATGGACTGCAAGCTTTCTAGGGTTTTGACTTTAATGGGTAAAATGGGTAAAAATTTTCTTGATCGCTTCCCTTATCACTTTTGATCTAAGTGGTAGTTAGAAGAATCATACCTCTATACTCTTAGAACTAGTGTCTGTATTATAGTGCAGCTCTCTTTGACTATTTCGTGACATTGACCCTGAGAGTGGCCCTGAGAGAGTCTACTTTTTTCCTTTGGTACCAAATTGGGCCCTTGGATACACTGATCTGTTGATTCAAGGAGGAATAAGCAACTTTTTTTTTTCTGTTTTAAAATAAACTTTTGGTAGCTTATTTTCTTCTTTTCTGTAATGTCAATTGTACATTTCAAGTTTGTGTTTTAACACTTGCCGTTGGAAACAAATATTGTGACTTTGATTTCTTGAAATCATAGAAGTGGGAGTAAAAAAAATTAACAAGCTATGTTGAAACCTTCTGCAGCTTGATTGACTGGAATAATCCTGCCATCATTAATAAGATGTACAAAGTATACCTTGGCGATATCCCACTGAAGACAAAAGAGGTAGGTTGTTTTAGTTTATTCTCTCGTTATCATAAAAAATGTTTTGTTGACATGAGCTCTGTATAGTTGAACATTTTCTCATAGTTATTTAAATCAACTCTGTGCTATAGAAAATACTAATTTTAAGTTGATTTAAAAATAGTTTGAGTTGTGTTTTCAATTCAAATAATTAAACCGTGATGATACATTGTCTAGATTTAGGATCAGTAAATTTTTTCTGCAAATATTTTAGATTTTATAGACTGTAGATTCTGAATTCAACTACATGACTCTGTGATACTATGAAGCAGCCTGGGCAACACGTTACTGAGTGAGCGTGGCAGTGTGTTAGTAAAACTGTGTGGATAATGAAATTTGAATTTTCTACAGTTTTTATGTTAAGAAACACTGTTCTTTTGAGTCAAAAAAATCATTTTAAAATGTAAAAACACATTTAAAATGTAGCTCAGAGGCCTTCCCAAGACAGATGGTGGCCCTATTTGGCCTGTGGACTGTATTTTGTTGACTTCTGAACTCTGAATCTAGACGCTTCTGAGCCTTAAGGTAGGGCATTTGCTTAATCCACGCTCTGCTCAGTTTACTGTGTTTAAAAGTATTCTGACCCCAAACCCAGAAATAGAAGATTGTTGCTTTTTAAACTATAAGTAGTTTAAAATTTTTTATTAGCTCCAATTTGATTAACTGAGTGTGATATAATAGAAAGAACAATGAATTAGAAATTGGGACCCCTCTGGATTCTAGTCCTGAATGGTTGTACGTCCATGTATTGGGAGAAGGGATTTCACTAATCTCTCTAATGAACTCCTCTGGGCCTGGTGTTCTTCATGTAGACAATAAAGAGGTTGGATTATATGAGTGGTTTAAGAGTCTGGTGCTGACACTTAACCCCTGGGCCACCAGTGAGGCAAGAGTGTGGTCTATGAACCTTTGTCAGGACACAGACTTTTCAGGGTCCATTCAGGCAAGACTTTTTTTTTTTCAAACTGTGCTGATAGTTGCTCTGATGGTGCAGAAGCAGTGTTAGTATAAGTGCTAGCTAGGGTCACAGCGCCAATCCAAGTGTCTTTGCATACTGCTAAGTAGTGTTCTGTTCTTCGCTGTTAGTACTCATGGTTTAAACAAGAAAATGAATCAAGAGAGAATAAAGCTCAGCTTATGAAGCAGTAAAAATTATTTTGCCTGAAGACTAAACAGGCAAATTATGCTTATGGAGATTAATATTTGGCAGATACTGTCTCTAAAATGAAAAAATGAGACTTCAGATTGACAACGAACATGATTTATAGGCAATGATAAAAGTTGAGCTTTTAAAAAGCAAAAAATAAAATTTTGGAAGCCTGTATTCATCATAATGAACTTGACAATTTCTCAAAAATTAGACTACTGATTGGATCAGTGGTGACATTATTAACATGATTTTTAAATTTTGAATGTTTCATACTGAAACATTTGCTTAACTCAGTGAATCAGTATTTTCGAAATGGCCAGTGGTGTCCCAGAACCATATAAAGATAGGGGGGCTGTTCAGTGTGCAAGATAGACCAGTGGTATTTAACATAACAGCATATGCAAAAGGTTCATTGATGCAGAGTTTCAAATCCAAATGGCAACTAACCTGTAAGCAACTATTTATCAAGTTTTTATGTAGAATCAAAGAATATCCACAGTTACCTGGAAAGGCTAAAGTCATCCTTGCTTTTCCAACCACATATCTGTTTAAAGCTGTTTTTTCCCCCCCGCGCATATTTCTAAACATACTGAGTGCACAAGAAGATTCAAGAATCTGGGTTTTGGGCCTTCCCGGTGGCGCAGCAGGTTGAGCACAGTGCTGTGAAGCTGTCCGCCGCCTCTGCAGTGAGGGTTCGATCCCCTCCTGCTGGCAAGAATCCCACATGGTGCACAGACCTCCTTGCCCACTGCTTCCCTCAGCAGTGTATTTTGGTCGTCTGCCTGTTCTGCTCCCTGCTGTGTTTCTGGTCAGTCCTCTCACCCTCCCTCACCTATGGCCTGTACCCCAGCTCTTGTATAAAAATAAATAAATCTTAAAAAAAAAAATCTGGGTTTCTTCTACTAAGGGGGATATTGAAGAGATTTACAGAAAATGTAGACCAATACCATTGTCAGCATAGTTTTTTCTTTTGGAAAATACAGTTATTTTTCTGACAAGTATGTTTTTGAAAATATGTAGTGGGTTTATTAACATCTTTAAGTGAGTAAATAAGAATTTCTGTTTTAATTTCTAATATAGTAACTATTGATAAGGTATCCCAATATAAACAAAAACTTTTTTTTTTAAGGGTGAGGGAGCTTGAGACAAAAGTTTGAGAGACAACTGATTTAGATATTTCTCATGATTTTTTTCAGTTCAAAACAATTTTGAAATTCTGAGTCATAATCAAATATTTCCTACAGGGAGCAGTTCTGAAGCCAGAGCTGAAAAGGGACCCAGTCAGTACACGGGTCAAGTTAAAGATCGTTCCTCATCTCCTTCGTTCTAGGCAGGCTGCGGAAACGTTTCCGGCTAACATTCAGGTAACTGTTCTTTCCAGAGAAAAATGGCCTTTTTGTAACTTTTGTATTCTCTTTTTTGTTAGAGAAAGAACTGTGTTAATGGGTATTGAGGAGATAGGTTGACATCTCTAAACATATTAAGGAGATTCCACCTTTTTTTTCTGAATCTCAAGTTCAGCTGCAGAAGTGATTTGTGAAGCTCTCTATATAATAAATGTTATGTATGTGGTTACTATTCACACATACTGTGTGGTGATCATCTAAAATTAGTTTTTCTTCACAAATGGTACCACCAGAAGCTTGAATCACTTGAGTAGAAGTGCTCTTGCTCTCTACCTTATGCTTCAACAAAAGATAGTTGCACTTTAAGTATTTTGTGTTCACTGTATGGTGGACACAGGCTGCTGTCTTAGCATCTCTCTGTGTTAAGTCTTGTTTGTTTATGTGGCTGCTTCCTCCTTCTAGATGTAAACTTTCACTCCCAATTATCTGGCACTCTAACGGTTCATTAATTTCAAGTATTCTGTCTTCATGAAGTTAGAATTATTGCACAGCTTCTTCAGTTTCACTTCCAAGCTCTGTTTCTCAGATAATACCTTGATAATTCTGGTTCAGAAAATTTGAAGTAACATTGCATTGCATAATGAGTGGCTAGAATTTTGTGAGAAAATAGTCATAGACTTTTTATTGTGTACACATTAGATGTAGTTGTTTATGTTTTAGAAGTAAGTTCAGCTAAAACTGAGCATTCAAAGACAAACTCATTGTCTGTCATCCTTTTCTTATATTCTCACTACTATGAGAATCACAGTATTCTGTGTTTGTCAATCACAGAATTCCTGAAGGTATGGTGCAGATGAGCTGCTTCTTTCCTGATACCTCAGCCTTTAAGTAGACATGGGCTACCTCACCTTGATTTTCAACATAAGAAAGCACCCAGCAGTTCTTCACATGTTTTCCATGAATTTTATTTTTCCTTTAAAACAGTAGCATTCTGATTTAATCCTTTTGTCGTAGCACATTATTCCATATATTACAGCATTGTCAGATTAATTTAAGAAAAAGTCTTTTCCAGAAAACAAATAATTAAAGTGGGGAAAAGAGCTAAATAGACACTTTTACGAAGAAGACATACAAATGGCCAGCAGGCACCAAAAAATGCTTATCGCTTGCTGTCAGGGAAACGCAAGTTGAAACCAAGAAGAGATACCACCCCACACGTGTGAGAATGGCTTAAATCGTAAAGACCAGAAACAACAAGTGTTGGTGAAGGTGTAGAGAAAAAGGAACCCTCTTACCCTGTTGGTGGGAATGTAGATTTGTCCGGCTTCTATGGAAAACTGTGGAGGTTTCTCAGAAGGTTAAAAATGGATCCTTCCACACGACCTAGCAGTTCCACTTTTGGCTGTCTACCTGAAGAATGCAAAAAAAGATGTTGGATTTTTTTTTTTTTTAAACATAGACTATCCCATTAAAAAAAGGGAATTTGAAGAGTTTAGATTTTTTTGATATTTAATCAATGCAGTCTCTGGATGCTGCAAAGAACCCATTATCTTCATGATCTCTTTGCCTCTAGCCCTAACTACACAACAGGTGGAGCACTTGTCCCCCAAGTACAGATTTGTAGAATGCTTTCATTTTGATATTTTTCTGAGACGCTTTTATTATAGTATCTTCTGAATGGATACATGTAATTAAGAAACCTATTTCCCCCCTATGATCTCATCTGCTAGTGTCCCCTTTGCAGTAGAGAGTGCTGAGTGGTGGTGCACAGCAGCGTAGAATCTTAGTTACTCCCCGGTGGCATACCTGCCAGTTCTGTAGACTGGTAGGACCAACTGTTGTGTTTGTTACTCTACAGACTGCTGAGTGGAGCTGCTGATTGACTTCCTAAGTCAGTAGGCTAAAATGTTTGTACTAAAAAGAACTGCATTAGGGCCTCCCCAGTGGCACAGCGGTTGAGCGCTGGGTTGCGAAGCTGCCCGCGGCCTCTGCGGCGCCAGTTCGATCCCCGGCTGCTCCCCTGCCACGGGAGGAGGGTCCCACATGGTGTGCAGACCTCTCCTGCCTCCCGCTGCTCCCCTCAGCAGTGGGCTTCGGTCCTTCTGCCTGCTCTGCTCCCCACTCTGGTTCTGATGAGTTCTCGCCCTCCCGCGCTTCTGGCTGTACCCAGTGCATATATAAACAAAACAAACAAATAAATAAAACATGCCTCTATTAAAACAAACAAACAAACAAACAATTAAAAAGAACTGCATTCGTTTTGAAGAATAAGATGCACTGCAAAAGGTCTATAGTTGACTCGACTAATACTTGGAAATAGTAATTGATATTCTTGTTAATTGGTGTTCTTGACATTGTTCCTTTCTTATAGGTGGTATATGATGGACTTTTCGGTACAAGTACAAATTCAAAATTAAGAACATTGTCTCTGCAATTTGTGCATCACATTTGTATAACGTAAGTTTTTTGAACAGCTTGTAAAGTTTTCAAGTTGTTGGAATGGTAATGATTCTAGTATATCTTACCTAAAATTAATCCTGTTATCTTAAAACTTTTAGATTTTAATTGTTTATATAAGTGTATTTCACTCTATCTCTATTTTAACTGATTATCAAAAAAGGTAGTAATAGCAATTTTCTTTTCTTGCTTTGTCTGTGTATGTTATTTTTTTAAAAGCTGCCCAGAAATCAAGATTAAGCCACTAGGTCCAATGCTTTTGAATGGCCTCACCAAGCTAATCAATGAATATAAAGAAGTAAGTGTTAATTTCATAAATATTTTATATTTTAAAATATTTTGTTATAAACCTTTCTGGTCTGCATGTTGATTTAGTTAAATTTTGCTGGCTTTTCTTCATTTCTTAACATATTTAGTTGAAGTGGGGCAAATTTTAGACAGTACTTCATCTTTTACTTTTTTTGAAAATGAAAAAAAAAACCTGATACTCTTGAGGAGTCTTATGGCTAATTTAACATAACTCAAAGCAGCATCCATTTGGAGGTACTGTGTAAAAAATGGAATTAAAATTTGTTTTGTAGTTTATTTTCATAAGGGCCTATTTGGATTTGCTTGTATTGAGAAACTGTTAGTTATTAGGGACTGAGATTTTACTGATTCAAAATTCTGTCAAAACATGCATTCAGTAAATTTTTGATTCCTTATCTAATTGGGATGAGGATTCCTTGGAATGTAGATTTTTGAATCCTCTTTGTCTTTGCTGCATCGTTCTCACCATTTCCAGGCTTGCAGGTAAAGTTTTGCTTAAGCAAGGAAAGGTTTCAAGAACTCTAGTTAGCATTTTCCCCCTAAGTTACAGCTAAACATGAATGCATGTTTGCAGTAGTGTGATCAAGATTTTACCGTTTGGAGTTAGAATTGAGTTTGAATACTAGCTTCATTCTTTGGTGAGTAACTTAAATTCTTTGGACCCCCATTCTCTATTAGAAAAAGAAAACAATGTTGCCATTTCACTGAATTATTATGAAGATTAGGAGAGATAAATATGTCCATCGTTCAGCACAATGAATTGGTAAAACACTGTCCCTTCTTACGCAGCTGTGCTCTGGGGGCTGTGTTAGGCCTGAATGACCTATCTTTCTCCTATTGAATAGTGCTTGCATGGTTTTATAAATAACCTTCTGATTATTTTAATGACATAGTCAGATGCTTTGGGTGGTAGGTAGAAATAAAAAAATGCTTTGGAACATTTAGGGGAGAAACTATATTTAAAAATAGATTAGAGAGGCCAGATAGAGCACAGGGCTCTAATCCTCTTACCTCCAGATGACAACGGCATGTTTTTTCAACAGGTATCCATCTAGGTGTGGAAGGGGGAATCCTCCGTTAAATGTATGAACTTCAGCTGATAGAAGTGTTGCTATGTTCTGAGTAATCAGCAAGACTCTGTTTTCATAAAACCATGTAAAGTGGATCTGTATTTTGAGTGGGAGGATTACAAACTCACTTGATGACTGATTGCTTTAAATGTTTTATGGTGGAAGATATGAGGAGCCATTCATTATAGTACAGAGTTTTAGAAAATCACTCCCAAACTTAACGTACTTCTGGGTGAGAGAGGGAGGATTCTAGTCTGTTGGACCAGTGATGAATTTTCTCATGAGTTAAGCTGCTTCATGAGTATGTTGAAGATGAGTTCTGGTGTTTGCAGGTTACATAGTATTGACAATACCATGAACTTAGATCAGTTAAGAGAATCTTTTTATATGTTACTGCTGCAATTTTCTTTTGAAGTGAATTGGGGATTCAAGTTTTGTTTTGTTTTTCCTTTAGTAGTGTGATGAACTCTGGGTTTGGACATTTTTGTTTGTTTTGCTCAGGTGCTAGTATCATGTACTCAGGCAGAGTAGCAAGGAGTAAAGTAATGCATGCAATTGCAGCAAAAAGGTTTGCCGTTTACTATTTTTTTTGTCTGTTTTTTGTTCTTTTTTTTTTCTTTCTTAATTTCAAGGACCCTAAGCTACTGTCAATGGCATATTCAGCTGTTGGAAAACTCTCCAGGTGAGTAAACTCTTTTTCAGTGAGGGATATCCTGTTGGTAAACTAAGAAAAACGATGTGTATTTAATAATGGATGGAGAATAAATTAGTTGTGATTCTGAAAGGAAATGTATTTAATGGCCCTAGATGTTTAGAAGTAACTTCTTTGTAGAAGGAAAATGATGTGAGACACTTTAATTTACATTTGAAATTACGTTGCCATATTAAACGGTGGTCTTGAAATGAGATTTTGAACTGGATTTTGTCATAATGAGTTACTTTCTTGTATCCTGGAGACATTTGATTGTCTTTAAGTGTTCTTGTTGCTACTTACTTTGAGTCTTTATTAACTCTAATAATCAAGGTTTTCCTAGTGATTCTCTTTTCTGATATGATTCTTTATGATTCTGAGTGACTCTGCTTCCAAAGATGGATTTTCCTCTTCCACTTAGTATGATTTCCTCCTCCTCTTCCTCCTGGTGTCCTCTTCCATCACTGTATTTCTAGGTAGGGAGGTAGAGGTGCAGTGACCTCAGTGGCACCATGTGTTGCTGCTACCCCAGCGCTTCCACCCTACTGTATTGGCCTGTGTAGGCTAGGTCTTGCTTTCTGTATTGTGCAGGGAAAGGAGCTTTGGGGCTCAGACGAAAGCTACCCTAGATGTGATGTAGTGCAGGGTTGTCAGCAGTCCTTGTCTCGTGTCTGTTGGCATGAAGTAACAAAGCCCATCATCATAATAGCTTTTAATTTAAATAGCAATTTGGTCTTAATTATCTGTTTTCTTTATATTAAAATCAGAAATGTTAACTGAATGCATGGAATATTATAAAGAGTATCTATCTGGATAGCATGTATGTTAATCAAAGGTTACTTAGATAGTTGAGGAATTAAATATGTACTTTAAAATATTTGGTTCATTGGGGAGGTAATCTAATGATGCTACTAACATTGTGTTCAGAGATGAAAGTGCAAGTTCAGGAATATTTATGTTGTTTTGTTTTCTTCCATCTTGTGGAAATCTATGATAATAATGAGGGTCTTATATTCTCTTACAGTCGAATGCCTCATTTATTCACTAAGGATATAGCTCTTGTGCAGCAGCTTTTTGAAGCCCTATGTAAGGTAGGGAGATACCTGGAAAGTTTATGCTGTTTGGATGCTCTCCTGAATGCCCAAAAGGAGGGAAACATTATCTTTACTATCTTTATAGGAAGAGCCCGAGACGAGACTTGCTATTCAAGAAGCACTATCTATGATGGTTGGAGCTTATAGTACCTTGGAAGGAGCACAGCGAACTCTCATGGAGGCGCTTGTGGCTTCGTACTTAATAAAGGTAGGTCTAGATATGTGCACTACGGTGGCTGGCGCACGTACATACTACATTTTTAAGAACAAGATTTGAATTACCTTGTTAATTATCTTAACAACTAAGAGGAATGCTTACTTTCGTTTGGCTTATGATTTATGATTTATTTTTAGTTCTTCCTGATGGAAATCTGATTTTAGGAGAGAAATCTGGTGATGGTCACAGAAACTTTATGTTTAAAGTCTTCCATGTTGGAAAACTGCTATTAATGTCATGTCCTCCATGTTGGAAGATTTTTATCTTAACTGATAGTGAGCGCTCAAGTCCATAGATTTTAAAGGTAGCATCAGGGAAGATAAGCAGAGGGATTTTATATATATATTAAAAATTTTTTATATCAAAATAAGTATGTTGGAAGTCAGTCAGTACCATCATACCTACTTTTCCTCCTTCTAGTCCTTTTTATTTGGTTTTCATGAGAGTTTGTAGGAGAATTTTGAACATCTATAGATATGCAGGCATATGTACACCTGGTATATATTATACATTATAAAATAATATATTATGTATTTTCTTTAGTCAGTCATCTTCCATTTCTAGTGGAAAGACGGAGATTGAAGAGGGAGTGCTGTCAGACAGGGAGATTGAAGAGGGAATGCTGTCAAAAATACTAGTGAGAAGAATGTATATTGTGTCCTGATTTGACTGGCATATTTAATACATTCATATTGAGGGAATTATACAACATTGAGAAAGGTATCTGATGTCTGTGAAAATATCACAGAATAATTATGTACACTCAGAAAAATTCCTTTTTGGCAAGTAGATTGCTGTAGACTCCCTTTGCCAGCTGCTCTTGGTGTCCATTGTATATAACTCATGATCATATGTCACAGAAAAAAAGAATAGGCCTGGGCTTCCCCGGTGGCACAGTGGTTGAGCGCTGGGCTGCGAAGCTGCCTGCAGCCTCTGCAGCACCAGTTTGATCCCCAGCCACCAGGTGAGGGTCCCACATGGTGCGCAGACCTCTCCTGCCACCCACTGCTCCCCTCAGCAGTGTACTTCGGTCCTTCTGCCTGTTCTGCTCCCTGCTCTGGCTCTGGTGAATTCTCACCCTCCCGTGCTTCTGACTACCCAGTACTTGTATAAATAAATAAATAAATCTTTAAAAAAAATAGACCTGTTAGGAAGCTCATTTGGACACTTAAGAGTACAAAGAAGTAAGATTCTTAATTATAATGTATGTGGGTATGGTTATACTCTTGCAAATCAAATCATGTAACAATATTACCAAGCTAAACTAATTTGTTTCTTTTCTCATACTGCATTTAAGGCAATCAGGGTCCAGGCTAAATCTTAAAGACCAGTCCTTAACACTGTTGCTCTTTAAATCTCAGGAAGTGCTTAAAGATCAAGAACACCAGAATCCATGGGACAGAATATGTTTCTTTTTGCTGTCATCTCAATTCTGTTGTAGCTGGAAGACTGACTGGGTTGGGGTGGGGGAAGTACAGGAGAACAAACCTTTCCTGGTTGAACTTTGTACACTGTTAACCCTTTTAAGCTAATTGAATGTATTTATGTAGTTGAGACTGCTTGGGAGTCAGTTTTAACTGTAGAGTGGATATGAAACAGTTGGAGGTATTTTGCTTCAGAGTTGTAGGGATTCTAGGTAAACTCTGTTTCCTGAAAAATACCTGAATTTCACTTGTGTTACTGAGTTTGAGAGGTGGGGAAGCAGAGGTAATGACAAGAAACTGTCAAAGTCATTTTGGTCTCTGTACACGCACATCCTTGGCACAATCTTGGGACCATTTTTGGGCCGAGGGTGAGTGCGTCCTGAGAGGTTCTCTGATGGTGATCTTTGTGGTCTTGCTTTCCTTGGAGGAGCCTCTTAGATCAGAAATGTACTTTTTAAGTAATAACTCTGTTTAAACAGCTTTAAAGATATGATTAAAGATCTTGAACAAAGAGTTTGTCTTGATTTTATTTATTTGGATACATATCTATTGAGTTAGCAACTTAAATTTTGATTGTTGCAACTAATATAACTTAACTAGACTGAAATGAATTGTTGGTAATTGGAATTTTTAAAAAAAGGGTCTCTCTCTGTATTTGCATTTTTATGTCAATAGCCTGAAGTTCAAGTTCGACAGGTGGCTGTGAAATTTGCCAGCACGGTGTTTCCCTCAGATCATATACCTTCCAGATATTTGCTCTTATTAGCTGCAGGAGATCCGTAAGTATCAAAAGGTCTTAATTTGAATTTGGGTTTATATAAAATTTATGTGAACATTACTAAAACTTACGGTTGCCTGCAGTGTTCATTTATGGAATTTAGAAGCAGTTTGCTCAACAGTTAAAAGTATGACCCTTGATATGCTATAGACACATAGTCGTGTGTGTGTGTGTGTGTGTGTGTGTGTGTGTGTTTGTATCTATATAACACATACTGTGTTTATATTTATAAAATATACATAGGTTACATGTATATATTAATGCGTGAATAGATAATATAGAGAAGTGTTTATGAATTAATCAAGTGTAGATAGAACAAATTATGATTGTTACATAATATAATTATATCTCAAAATCAAACTGTAAGGAGAAAAAAAGATGAAATGTTTATTGATTCAAATGTATTTTAGTACTATGTTAATGGAATATTATCTTGTTTCTAGTAGAATACTAAGATTTTTAATGAGTTGTGTATATTGAATTTTGTTTTAATGATTATATTACTACATTTTTTTGGTATGATACATATTCTGAAACATGTGATTCTGAAGTTGGGACATACCTTTAAAAGCCATGAGTATATATAAATAAGTGTATATGTACATGTTAAAATTAAAATTTTTATCAAATCTATTATCTTTAAATCCATGAAGCATTTTAATATATTTCATAATAGCAATTTCATTACTTCAACTAGTGATTGGAACTTTTGCATCTTTTATGTGAGGTTCTTGCATATTTTTTTCTTTTTTGTGGTAGACTTAGGAAACTTCATCATCTGTGCTTAGGAATGGTTTAAATAAAATCAATCACTATTCTGATTGGTCCAGTATAAGCCCTTCAAACCATTTTTTTTTTTCCTTATAAGTTTTTAAAATTTTGCTATCTTTTTTTCTAACTTTATTGAGATATGACTGACATATTACATTATGTAAGTTTAAGATACACAGTGTGTTGATTTTACGCATTTTTATATCACAAAATAATTAGTGTTAACCATGGTATTAGCTCACACTTGTATCAACTCATAATTACCATTCTTTTTTGTGGTGGCAATGTAGGAACTACTTTCTTAGCATCTTTTAAGATTATAGTGGTATTATTGACTATAATCACTATGCTGTATATTAGCTCTTTAGAAACTTTTCATTTTTATAGCTAGAAGTTTATATTCTTAGACCAGCAACTCCTGTCTTCACCTCCTCTCCCCTACCCACCCTTGCTACTTGGAAATACCATTCTACTCCCTGTTTTTATGAGTTTAGCATTTTTGGCTAGAGCTTTTTTATTGGAATTTTAATTATATTTCAAAGGTTATTGCCAGGCCCCAATGTTGGCTTTTTCTTCTCATACAGTTGCATTTATATTTGGTTAAAGTGGCTTTGGATTGTTAATCTGTATTCTGGTGCTCTACTGTTTGTCATTTTTCTATCTTAGGTTCCTAACCACAGGCAGAGATCACAGACTCTGTGGCCAAGATGGCAGTTTACATTAGAGCTGTATTTTTGAGCCAGTCAGATGGACTGCCAGGCAAAGCTCTTGACCCACTGAGCCTTGTCTCTTAAGTGCTGAAAATTAGCTTTATTAAAGAAAACTAATCAACAGTTTTTCTTCAATTTAGTTAAAACTGTTCTGAGTAAATATTAAAAGTCTTTCTTTTTGATTTTACTCTGTTAAGAAAACTAGAAACAATTCAGAGGCAAGTAAAATAAAGACTTAAAAGAACCTTTATATGGTTTTTGGATAAAACTTTACCTGTAGGTAGTCTGAAATTGGTTTCGTATTTTTACACATTAATTTCATATTATCAGCTACTAGTTGTACATAATTAGAGCAGAATCCATAAAGGTGTAAGAGGGCGTAAGGTAGTGTGCATGGGTCACTGGAGGAGAGGGATTGACTTTTTAAAATATATATTTCAGTTTATGATTTACCTCTAATAAGGATAAAGCATAGACATAGCTATTTATATAATGAATCTTGTTTTTTTTCTTTGGGTAAAATTCAAAAGATGGATTTATAGGGTTTACCAAATCTCTTAAAATTTCCAAGAACTAATTTCTTTCTTACCATGTATTTTATGATTCTTTATTTGATAATTAAGGCATTTTTCCGCAATCAGATAAGATTGCTGTTCTTAACTCTTCAAATGATCATTCTCCAATTGGTTGAAATTTCTTTTTTATTAATGTTTGTCTTTCTGAAAGACGGGAAGAAGTTCATGGAGAAGCACAGCGAGTATTAAGGTGTCTTCCTGGTAGAAACAGAAAAGAAAGTGTTGCTAAGCAGATGCCTTCTTTCCCAGAGATGGTGTATTATATCCAAGAAAAGGTAAGCATTGAACTTCAGATAAATTAGTTTGAATCATGTAATGGAATGATGACAGTAAGCATAACATTTTTTTAGGTTAAAAAGTGTGATCATTTAACTTTAAACAGTATTAAAGTTTCTAAAAATGTTAATATTTACAAGAGGAACAAAATGAGAAAAGTAGAATTCTCCGTGTAATCTTGCCCAAATCTGAATTACTTAACAATTCTTTCTATACTCTTTAGTATCTTAGTTGTATTTAAAACTGTTTTCCCTTGGTATAACTTGCTTAGAAATACATCTTTTTATTTTTAAAAGCATTTTTTAGGGAATCATCAGTTTAAGAATGCTTCAGGAAGCAGTCGATTTTTACACTGAAATCATAAGAGAACATCTCATCTGCTATGCAAATCTCCTCTTTTCACACTCTGCTTTCTGCTGGTAGAGCAGAGAGAGAATAGACAGTCAGCCTTGTCCTTATCCCACTTTTTACATCAGTGTTTCTTTGAATATTCTGGGGGAGTGCCTTCCCCTCTACTGGAGGCCCTAGCTTCTTGCTAGATAGAAATCTTCAGGGAGTTGGGGTTGGGATGGAGCGGCTATGATTCTTTTCTCTGTCAGCACACGTACATATGGTCAGAGATAGATTTTCCCCTGCCTCCATGGTTAATGGGCATAACTAGCATGCAGTGACGTGGGATGACAGTGTCAGTAAATGCTTACAGTGGGTTATTCTTTTTAAACAAGCCAGTGAAAACACAAGGAATGAAAACTACTACATCTGTCACTTAGGGTTTGAGGGATATGTGCAGTTAGAAGGATTAATGGGAAAATGTTTTGGCTAGAAAATCAGTGACCTGTAATGTAGCCAGAAGTAGTTATTTTTGAGTTGAGGAAGGGTGTCTGCTCCATGTGTCAGTTTCTGTATTTGTTTTACACTTATTAGGCTTCCCATCGAATGAAAACACCAGCCAAGTACATGACTGGAACCACCGTCCTCCCATTTAACCCAGCAGCCTTTGGAGAGGTAGGACTGGCACAGATTTTTATTTTGCTTTCTTAAAGTTCTAAAAAGATATTCACACTCAAAGAGATGTCTGAATTTTTTGTGTCCTATGTAAATCCATGCATTGATCTATCATATACTTTGTTAAAGAAAAACAATATTTGTAAATGGTTTATTATATTTCATAATACTCTGTGCATATATGTAGCTCAGTGAGTATCTGAAAAAATTGGGTGCTCTGCATTGATTTTGACGGATTTTACAGCAAGTTAAGTTTGAAATTTAAATTTATTATTGATGTCTGGTTTATCTAGTTTTGAAGTTTAGAGAGTTAGATTAATTTATGTTTACTAAGGGAAGTTTTATTTAAATCATTGTCTTGTACTAATTAAATAATGAGATAATTTTGTTCAGAGTAAGAATACCCACAGTGAAATTGCTGTCTGCCCTATTTAATTGTCAAGGAATGCTGTTTCTAGAGGACTCCTTAGTAACCAGCTTACATCAGAGGTTTTGATGATGGGTGTTCTGTAGGTGATTTGAATTGTTTCCTCAAATTCATGTGTCAGAGAGATTATAACTGGAATTTCACAAGAAATAGATCATCTGACCTAGGTTTCTTTCTAGTGTCTGTCTAGCTTCTTTCTCCTCCCCCTCACACACTTACACATTTTAAAAAAAAATTGTTTTCATTATAATTTTTTAGACATTTTAAATTTATTGAAAGAAATTCTGGATGTATGAAAGCTTGTTATGTAAAATTTTCTCCAGTTAACATACTGAATCATTTTTCTAGTTTCTGTGAGGATTGTTCACTAACTTAATGAAATAAGCTTGGGGGGGATCAAAAGTGGAAACGGTCACTTTGAAGAATACCCTCCAACTTGGGTTTCTTTAGCCCTTACCACGTGTTCTCCCTTCTGTTTGCAGATCGTTCTATACTTGCGCATGTGCCTGGCTCACAGTGCAGGTGTGGTGCCCACCTCTCAGAGCTTGGCTGATATGCAAGACCACTCCCCTGCCATTGGACGCTACATCCGGACTTTAATGTCAGGCAGCCAGGCCACATCCTCCTCGTCCTCTTCCAAGAGTGGAGAAACCAATCCCGTTCAGATCTATATTGGTCTGCTTCAGCAGCTGCTAGCAGGTGTTGGAGGTAGGAGGTTGTGAGACTGAGGTCAGGTATGAAAGTGCTTCAGTGGAAATCTAAACTTTAACCTCAGCTGAAAATAAAAGCAAAATTATTTTCTCTCTCCACTATTGTAACTGAACTTTAAGTCTTTGTTTCTTTTCTAAACTTATCTGATTCATCCTTTGTATACCATTTCTCTGTACAGAAAGAAAGGCTAACAATAGGTAACACAACTGTACTTTGGAGGTGGGTGAGAAGAATAGGGCATCATTTTATAGATAACCTAGCTGTAAATTTCCTGTAACACAACTGTACTTTGGAGGTGGGTGAGAAGAATAGGGCATCATTTTATAGATAACCTAGCTGTAAATTTCCTGTATTGAATCACATACTGTATTAAGGTTACACTTTAAAGGAACTTAGAGGTCCTGTATGTTTGTCACTTTTCTTGAAATTAAAATGGCTCTGAATTCTTTTCTTTTTGAGGTTTGCCAGTCATGTACTGCCTGTTGGAAGCTGTGTCAGTGTATCCAGAAAAGCTGGCTACCAAATTTGTAGACAAAACAGAATGGATAAAGGTATGTCCATTGCCTGCATGTTGCCCTTTATTTGTTGTATTCAGAATTTTGCTTTAATGATTTTTGTCTCCCCACCAGTGTTCCTATGATCTTTTCTGCCTTTGGGTCATTTGGAAAACTCTTTTCATCAGACACTTAATGGGAAGCTTGTAGGTTAGTGTATTTCAGTTGTCCTTCTGTGTGGGAGTTGAGCTAAGTCATAAAAGTAAAAAATAATAAATTCTTTGTTTTTAAAAGTTAAAAAGAAGTAATAGATTTGTATAATTTAAGTTGAAAAATATGTAAAATACCTTCTTTTAATTACTCTCCCTCACTTACCCAAATTGTTCAGTTTTCTCCTTCCTTTCTCACTTGACAAATACATAAGGCATCACTTATTTATAAGTGGTATTTATTTATAAATTATTTATTTATTTATAAGCATATTCAATTTTTCTCCTTTTACACAAAAGGTAGCATCGTTTCACACTTTATTTGTGCCTTTTTTCACTTATGTTAGCCCGTGGAACTGTTGTCATAGAGCAATGGGAGGAGAGCCTCTTCGTGTAACAGCCTCACTGTTTGAATTGTGATAGTTTATTCTAGATCGTTACTCATGGTCATTGAGGGTATTTGAAGTTTACTGCAATGAACAGCCCATCCTTTTGAATATCAAGAAGTATAATTTTTAGATAGGTTCCCCAGTAGTGGAATTGAGGACATGGGCTTTTGCAGTTTTTGTAGATAGTGTACCTCCTCCTTGTAAGCATTACTGGCTTGCATTCCCACCAGCCATGTTAGGAGTGTTCTTGTCCCCTGGTCACACCAGAAAGGATTGCTAGATTTAGCGATGAACATCTTTTTTTTTTTTTTTTTAAAGATTTATTTTATACAAGCACTGGGTACAGTCAGAAGCGCGGGAAGGTGAGAGAATTCACCAGAGACAGAGCTGGGAATAGAATGGGCAGACCGACGAAATACACTGCTGAGGGGAGAAGCGGGCGCAGCAGAAGTCTGCACGCTGCCATGTGTGACTCTCGCCAGTGGCCGGGGATTGAACTGGTGCTGCAGAGGCTGTGGGCAGCTTTGCAGCCCAGCGCTCAACTGCTGCGCCACCAGGGGAGGCCCTAGCAGATGAACATCTTAAATTTGAGTTTCAGATAAACAGTGAATTTTTTTTTACATGTCATGTATGTGTTTGTTTTTTTGCACATACAGAGTCTCATGAATAGCAGTAAGGAGGAGATGCGTGAACTGGCAGCACTATTTTATTCTGTGGTGGTATCTACAGTGTCGGGAAACGAGTTGAAGTCCATGATAGAACAGCTTATAAAGACTACAAAAGACAGTCACGTATGTTGTCAGTTTTGTCTTCATCCTTTATTGTGGGAGAGTTTTACAAAAGTATCTAATATATTTTCAGTTTTTGTGTTCTTGTTTAAAAAATGAACTTAGAAATTCCTTGTTTTTATGATTGCAAAGATTAAATGATATAGATTTAATGGGTTCACTCAACAAATTTGAAGCCTTATGTCTGATAGGCACTTGGCTTAAGTGCTTGGATTGCATTGGGGAGACTATGTGCGAATCCTGGATACTACCTGTGCTCAGAAATGTCAATTCCTTTTCCTTCCCCATCAGAAACCTATCATTGTGCCTGTCCCATCAAAAACACACTGTCAGGACCACATGCTTTCAAATATTGCTGCCTACCTTGTGTTTGGAGATTTTAACAATTAGAAATGGGATCTCTTTATTGTATTTTGTTGGCAGTAGGGAGGACCTCTGCTTGAAAATTACAATAGTGTAGTCACATAAGTACTGTGAGCTAGAAGAAAGTGTAGGTCCTGTAGGAGTATGCAAGAGAAGCCCCTCACCCAGGGCTGGCTGGGTGTGGGGTTAGGAAATCCAAATCCTGAAGTGAGTCAAGACACAGATTAACTTTTTTTTTTTTTGGTGTTTTATCAATGGGAAATATGATTTATCTAATAAGAAATCCAAGAACGGTATATCCATCAAACCCAAACTGGTATTAGGTCCTTACTTTATACATAACCAAAAATTATTTCAAAAAGATTAAAAAACAAACAGAAGCTACAAAAATATAATTAAACAAAAAAAATTAAAACCACAAAGACAAAGATAGATCATTGACTATCAAAATTTAAAAGACAGCAACATTCCCCACCCCCTCGCCACAATGGACATATTATTGTAGTTTTTGTTTCCAGAAAAAAATTTTTTTAAAGATTTATTTATTTATGCATACAAGAGCTGGGGCACAGGCCAGAGATGTGGAGTATGAGAGGATTCACCAGAGACAGAGCGGGGAACAGAACAGGCAGACTGACTGAAATACACTGCTGAGGGGAGCAGCGTGCGAACCAGGAGAGGTCTGCTGCGCCATGTGGGTGTCTCTCTGGCCGGCCTGGGATCGAACTTGTACTGCAGAAGACACAGATTAACTTCTTATTAGGATTCTCTGTTAGAAACTCAAGGTTTCTCTTGTTTACACTTCTGATTCATTAGAGTCCAGTGGAATCTCACATGACCACTTCATTCTTTGACCTTATGTTTTATTGGAGGCACAGCTGTAATAAATGCATAGTTATTTCAGTGCATTCTTACCCTGTGATAGAAAGACAGACATATGCTGTTGTGTTGTTACATTCAGAGCCCGGAGATACAGCATGGATCCTTGCTTGCATTGGGATTCACAGTAGGAAGATACTTGGCTAAAAAGAAAATGAGAATGACAGAGCAGCAAGACCTGGAGACGACAGGTGATTTCCTGCCTGAGCAAGAGCAGCTCATTCAGAGTGCCACGGAAACGATAGGTGAGTGGCATGTGTATGCTGGCTTGGGTGTTGTAGTTCTTGAATAAGGTTAACATTTGTTTCATGCTTTAATTTCTTTTCACAGCATTGCACTATAAAGGTACAAGCTTTCTCATAAAATCTTACTTGATAGTAAATAAATTCTGTATTTTTAATAACAACGAAAGTACTCCTTTTAATGTTTCTATATAACAGAGATGATTCTGTCATGAAAAAAAATTTAAACATTAAGAAAAGGACTCTGCTCTCTTCCCTGTTTCTATAGTGTTTTATTACTGAATAAATTGCTTACTTAAGGAATTCTTTTGTTCCCCTTTGCTTATTCTTCCCTCCACCCCCCCACCCCAGTTGAGGTTGCACTAGTTTACAACACTGTGTGACTCAGAGGTTTAGGTTCACACCTCTTCAGATGTGTGTCGCGACACCACCCCTACCACCCAAGCATCCATATCCTCTTAATACAGTTCATTGGATCCTTTTCTCCCTTTCTTCCCTATCCATCCCCTTTGGTAGCCTCAGTTCTATAGCTAGATTTCTAGGGCTCGTTTTGGTTTAGTTTTGTCTGTTTGTTTTTGTCTCTTTATTCCTCATATGAGTGAAATCATCTGGTATTTGTCTTTCTCCTGACTTCTTATTTAACTTAGCATAATCCCTCTAGTCCCATTCATGTTGTTGCAAATAGCAAGGTTTGTTTTTTTTTTTAATAGCTGCATAGTATTCCATTGTGTGTATATACCACACCTTCTTAATGCACTCATCTATTGTTGGGCAGTTTGGCTGTTTCCATAACTTGGCTATTGTAAATATATTACTGAATAAATGTTAGTGTATTATTAACTGGAAGGTATTACAGACTTTGGTTTTGTTTTGCTATCTTTAAAAAGAGTCTTGAGTACATTGCTGGCTGCTTTGGATCACAGGGGTAATAGTGTATTATTCTCTGTTTTTTCCTAAATGTGCTCACAGGCTCGTTTTTGGATAGTACATCACCCCTCTTGGCAATTGCTGCCTGTACAGCTCTGGGTGAAATTGGCAGAAATGGTCCACTCCCAATCCCTAATGAGGGGTCTGGCTTTACCAAATTGCATCTTGTGGAAAGCTTACTAAGTCGAATACCGTCCAGTAAAGAAACAAATAAGGCAAGTCTTTTTCTTTTTTCCTTCCCTTCTGAAATTCTTTTATAACACTGGGCCAACAACCATCTGTTTACAGGTCACTTTCACTACACTGGGCAGATTCATAAATATGGAGAGGAGCTAAATCACAGTTGTAAAGATAATAGATGGCATTGCAGCTGGAGGAAGGATTTAATATGGAAAGGAATGATAAAGAAGAAAATCTAGGTGACTGTTTTATTTTGAGTTAGGGAGGATTTGTGTCCCACTTTTGTGTATACACTATTTGACCCAATAACTCCAATTTAGGCCCACAGCTGTTAAGATTTTTCTTGCAAAAGGTGAATAACAGGGTTAAATAGCATTTTAATTTCAGTCCAAATCCAAATCTTAATCTACAACCAGTTGTTTTTAAGAAGTCTAGGCGTTAGTAAGCCTTGTGAGTAATCTGTGGAGGAAAGAACATTTAAAATCTTATAGTTTTAGATAAAATTTTCATAGACTTTAAAACGTTTTGTCTGAATTACAAATGATTTAATGAACAGAAAATTCATCTCACTGCAATTTTAATAAACATGTACTCTTACTCTTGATCTGGCTACTACTTCAACTTTTTCTGAGATCATACAGTGTAGTTTTTGCTAGCTATTGCTAACCAACCATTGTTGAATACCAGAAATGTGTCAGGCAGATGCTAGGTGCTTCACATACATTAATTGAATCCTCCAGGTCTATAGTGAAGTATCTATAGTTCTGATCTTTGTTTTCCAGGTGAGGAAATAGAGTTATAGAGAGGTGAAGAAACTGCTTCAGGTCACACACCTGTAAAAGCTGCTGAGTTATGATTTGATCCTAGATCCTCTGGGCTCAGAACTTACATTTATAACTGTTAAAATTTGAGTGATAATAAACCTAGTTAAAAGTTTTCTTCTTTTCAGCTATCCACCATCTACCTTCAGTGTATTATAGACATAATTCTGTAAAATTGTGCATGAATGCATTAAACACATTGCCCTTCTCTGCCATCTCATTTTGTAAACATTGTTTTGCGTTAAAACTTTTACATACTTGTTTTTTAAAAATGAATCTTTTCTTCCAGATGAAAGAACGAGCAATTCAAACACTGGGATATTTTCCAGTTGGGGATGGAGATTTTCCTCACCAGAAGCTGCTCTTGCAAGGTCTGATGGATTCTGTGGAGGTATTTATATTGCTCTCTGATTGTTAGTCATGCAAACAAAAGCCATTTGCTGGTTGAAATTTTGCATGCTATTGAGATTTTAAATTGAACTTCTGTTGATTTATTTGCTGAATGTTTATTGAGTGCCAGCTTTGGGCTCATCCCTGTTTCAGGTATAGCCTTGACTAAATCACCTAGATAGGAGATAATCTTTTCTCATATTTTTTAAGTAAAGCATGGGCAGTTTGGGTCGAAGGGGAAACCTATGCACTTGGCTGGATTTGGTGAGCAGGTACTGGATCCATTTGTACTGCGGTGTGATAACTTAAGCTTCTGTCCTTAGACTTCTGCCCAGTGTGGTGAAGGTGACTATAAACAGATGGCTGCTGGCCCAGTGTGATAAGTGTCTTTGCATGAACTGACCTGACCCCTGACCTAGCCTATGTTTTATCACTAACAAAGTCACAAAACATTTTTGTATACCAGCCTCTTTGTGCTTTGAGCTTTTGAAAGACATGTCTTTCTAGGGTTGTTACTGTGCCTCTTAGAAGGCCTTCCCTGACCCCTCATATTATATTCTTTAGTATTTGTGCTGTCATGATCTCCACACTTTTTCTTCATAGTATTTATCCTGGTTCCTAATTGCCCACTCCAGTGAAGGCAAGGTCTCTTTTGCTCACCATTACAAAACAAGCATCTAGCAGTGTGATTGGTAATGGCAGGACTTCAGTGATGGGTAGAGTAATTAAGAGACATTTTCATTTAAGGCAGTGGACTCACGAAGGAGGTATAACTGTATGAATTATATGTCCTAGAGACGTGGTGTAGATTTTTGGAGATGAGGTTGTTCTTGGAACCTGAAGGATGTGAGGGAGGAGAGAAGATAGTTGGAACTGAGGACTAAGGCAGCTGAGTGGTGGAACCCATGTTGAATTCAGGTGTCAGGATTCTGAATTCAGTATTTTTTGAGGTGAATTTTTTGGACAATGATTGATACCCACATCAGGTTCTACCTGGATGTACTGACGTTATACCACTTGGGAAAGCTTATGAGGTTTACTTTTTCATCTTTTTCCTGTTTCAAAACCTGTGAGAAAGGTGGATTTTTTTCTAGTTTTGTTTAACTGAAGATTTGTCAGGATTCTTAACTTGCTATTGAAGCCACTATTTTAAGAGTTTGGAAGTACAGCAATGCATGAAGAGCTAGAAACGTGATGGAGAGAGTCAAGGATAAGAATGAAAAGCAGAAATCAGAGAACAGAGTATCTTCACAGTGTGCTAGGACAAAGGTCTAGAATTTTTTGTTTCTTTTAAATTTTATTATAGAAAATTTCAAACACACATGAAAATAAAATAGTAAGCGCACAATGAATCCTTATGTGCCTGCTTTTATTTCAATTTTATTTCAACCCCCTCTTTATTTCTGAAATGTTTAAAGAAGTATCTAGATTCATGTTATTTATAATTGCAGTTAGATAGTATTGTATTTGTTTGTAAGATCATCATATTGTTATTAATAATAGAAAACATGTAAGAACAACATAAAGTGAATCTTTAATATAGGACTCCCTGTGTGAAATAACTTTTCTCATCGTGGGTTGCCAACAGACACTTTTGACCAGGGAAACTGTAGGACAAAAGCCTACAAAAGCCTACAAAAGCCTAACTTCTTCCTCAGAGGAGGAAGCATGTGGTATTGCTTGATAGTTCATCAGTTGAGGCTAGAACATATAGCTGATTTAGCTTAGGAATGACTAAACTATTGTATGTATGCTTTGTAGTTTTCCTAAAGGTGAGTATCCCTATAGCCCTCATGTTCTTCCATTCCTTGTTCTGTTCTCTTCCCCTCAATCCACAGTAGACAGAGAAAAATGCCAAAAGGAACTGATAGGTCTAATTCCGTGTTGAGTTAGTGATTCGTACTTGTGAAGCATGTCAAAATTTCTGAATCAAATTAAAAAAAAAATTGAGTATATATGATGTAGGATTTTTTTTAGCATTTGATTTTTTTAGAATAATTTCAAACTTAAGAGTGCAGTTATCAAAATAATGTAACCCTTTTACTTGGATTTACCAAATTTTGATATTTTATTACGTTTGTGCTATCATTCTGTTTTTTTGTTTGTTTTTTTCTGAGCCATTTGGAAATAACTTGCAGGTTATCATGTAATTTTAGAGTGCAAAAAGGAGGTATTAATAAATGATAATGACTTATCTGTTATACAGTTACTACATATTAGTTGTCCACTCAAAACTTTATGTCCATTAACCTCATTTAATCCTTACAATGTAATGAGGTAGGTGATGATATGCTCATGTAACAAACGGAGAAGTTGAGGCTCAGAGCTTAAATAAGGGTGTGTAGCTGCTGAGATACAGAGCTAGCATTTGCTCTGAGATCTGTTTGGTTTCAAAGTCCATACGTTTACCCCCTAGGTAACTGGTGTCATGCTTCCAAAGATTAACAAACATTGCTTCATGGTTCTCTGTTTAGGGTGAGGAATATGACATGGGATTGGAAAAGATCTCCAAGTCATTCTTATTTTCTCAGTTCCTTCGCCCTGCCTCACTTCTGAACCATCCAGTTAGCTGAATGTAGCAGTCCAGGCAGAAGAATAAAAAGCCATGTTTATAAACAAGATATGAAGTTGTCTTTTATAGAAATGGATATTTTTTTAGAAGTGTTCTCTCTGTTTCATGGATTTTATTCCTTCCCTGTAGGCCAAGCAGATAGAACTTCAGTTCACTACTGGCGAAGCTATTACCAGTGCTGCCATAGGAACGTGTTCTGTGGCTGCCCGGGATGCCTGGCTGGTGACCGAAGAAGAGTACACTCCTCCTGCTGGTACCAGATACTCCGCTAATCAGTTTATAATCATTAAGTAACCCTTTTTCTTCTCTCTCTCTCTTTTTTTTTTTTTTATCATACAGTATCTTCTTTTATCTCAATGAAATAACCAGGTGCTTGAAGTACTATTATTTCTGTTTTACATTTAGAGGAGGCAAGTCTTATGAGATTATATATTTTTTCACATTACATAATTAGTAAGTAGTAGCACTGGGTACATAATAGGTTTTTTTTTTTTAATTTAAATTTTATTTTTATATTCCCCATACAATTACAACCCCCTTATTTTTACCTCAAGCCCTCCTTTCCCCGCCCCCACCCTCCATAGAGTGTCTCTTGTTCATAGTTATTTGTTGATTTTGATATTTTCTTTCTTATAGTTATTCATTTTCCTGGTCCCTTATTTAAGTTTTCTAGATTCCTGCTATGAGTGAGACCATCCGGTATTTTTCTTTTTCTTTCTGGCTTATTTCGCTGAGCATGATCCCTTCCAGCGCTATCCATGTTGCTGCAAATTGCATGTGTTTATTTTTTTGAATGCTGAGTAATATTCCATGGTGTATATGTACCACATCTTCTTGATCCAGTCATCTATTTTTGGGCATTTGGGTTGTTTCCAAATCTTAGCTATTGTAAACAGTGCTGCTATAAACATAGGGGTGCAGGTGTTCTTTGGAATTGATGTTTCTGTGTCCTCTGGGTAAATACCTAGGAGTGGAATTGCTGGATCATATGGAAGCTCTATGTTTAGTAGGTCCAGAAATCTCCACACAGCTCTCCATAGTGGTTGGACCAGTTTGCACTCCACCAGCAGTGCAGGAGAGTTCCTTTTTCTCCACATCCTCGCCAACATTTGTTGTTGCTAGTTTTTTTAATATGTGCCATTCTTACTGGTGTAAGATGGTATCTCATTGTAGTTTTGATTTGCATTTCCGTGATTACAATGATGTTGAACATTTTTTCATATGCTGAAACCATAAAATACATAGAAGGAAATAGAGGCGAAACACTACATGATATGCACATCAAAGACATCTTTACAGACACATCACCCAAAGCAGTGATAGTGAAGGCAAAGATAAACAGCTGGGACTACATCAAATTAAATAGTTTCTGCACAGCAAAAGAGACAATAACAAAAACAAAGAGAAACCCCACCGACTGGGAGAACATTTTTGCACACAACACTAATGATAAAGGACTGATCACAAAAATCTACAAAGAGCTGATGAGACTCAACAAAAACAAAGAAAATAATCCAGTCAAAAAATGGGCAGAAGAGCTAAAAAGAAATTTCTCTGAAGAGGAAATGCAAATAGCCTTTTTCTTCTCTTTATCATGTTTGAAGCAAGATTAAAAAAAATTGTACCCTTCCTCCTAACAAATTTCACCTTTTTCAAATATTTTTTTTTTAATAGTGAAGCTTTTTTTTTTTTTTTAAGATTGATTTATTCATGCATAAAAGAGCTAGGGTACAGGCCACATGTGTGGGGGTGAGAGGATTCACCAGAGAAAGAGTGGGAAACAGAACAGGCAGATTGACCGAAGTACACTGCTGAAGGGAGCAGCGGGCGAGACAGGAGAGGTCTGCTGTGCCATGTGGGTTAGCTCCCTGGCTTGGAGTCAAACTCATGCTGTAGTGGCTGTCGATAGCTCCATGTTGCTAAGCTTAACCCCTTGTGCCACCAGGGAGGCCTGTGACCTGGATTTTGATCACACTGGTTCTGTTTGTCATTCTCAAGTGAGAACGACTTAAAATTTTGGGTATTTTTTGTTCTGGTCTACCAATTTTGCCTGAATAGAAGGAACAGCATTTGAAATGTCAGCTAGGGCCCAGGTCTTAGCCATCTTAGCATCTCTAGCACGTGGCATAGTACCCAGCATATTGTGTGACTCTAACCAGGGCTTTGTTAATGTGGTAATTCTAGTTGCCCAGATAGTAGAACTACAGGCAGCAGAGTTGTGGTTATGAATTGAGTGTGAGGTGTAAGGAGTCAGAATGACTTTAGAGATTTTTACATGAGCAGCTTGAAGAATGGAGTTGACATTTACTAAGATGTGGGAAGCTGTAGGAGGCATAGATATGTGGAGTCGGGGTGGAATGGGTACTGGAAAAACAGCTTTCCTGGCTCTTCTCTCTTCACATTTCGTGAGGTGAGCAGGACCAATATCCTCATGAACATAATCCAGAAGTCAGTTGAGTATGTGAAGATGTAATTTTGAGGAGTTTCAAATTAGAAATTGTTTAGGAGTTTCATGTAAAGAATTTACCTTTGAAAGTTACTCAGTTTATGCTGGCTTCTGAAATGAATGGTTATTCCTCCAGCAAATTATTTGAAAGTCTTAATTGTTTAGATTTTAGTGTTACAGGATCCTTGTACTGAGTAAATGTTGATTTAAATTTAATTTTCTCAGGAAACTATTCAATTATTTTAATTATCTTTGCTTTTCCCAAGGAGCCAAAGTAAATGATGTGGTCCCCTGGGTGTTGGATGTAATTTTAAATAAACATATCGTCAGTCCCAACCCACATGTGAGGCAAGCAGCTTGCATCTGGCTCCTTTCCCTTGTGAGGAAGCTTAGTACCCATAAAGAAGTGAAGGTAAGTCAGCCTTCTCTATTGGAAATGACTTATGAAATATTTATAATTGCAAGGTGGTAGGAAATAATCATTTGAAGGTGAGGGCTCTTAACCAATGGCAGAGATCTTAAACAAAACCGTACATGAAGAGTTGAAGGGTGGTAGCTGGTATATATTGGCTAAAAAATGATTCTAAGCTAGAAGATAGAAAGTCAGAAGAAGCAGATAAAGGATGGGGAGGCTCAAATTGCACCCATCAGACCTAATTCTAAGCTGTTCAACCTTCTGGTAGTTTGCTGCCTCCGAAGCTGAGAGCACAGCAGGGTTTATGACTGCCTTGGGGTGTAAAACTTTTCACCCATACACCCTGAAAGCAACATTCTTACTCTCCCGAAGAGATGGAGTCTCAGTGTTCTAATGCCTTTTTTCTTCTTTCAGTCTCATCTTAAAGAAATCCAGAGTGCATTTGTTTCAGTTTTGTCAGAAAACGATGGTAAGGTTATTGGAAAATATTTGCTTTTTAAACTTTGTTGAACTTGTTCTTTAAAATTGTGAAAAATACGAGTTAATAAAAAAGATACTGGAAAATTGAATTCTTACTAATTGGATCCCTTCAGCTTTGCATTTAAAGATGGAGCTGACTGCAGTGACCACACCTGAGATATAAAATCAGAAGTAGTAGATTAAGAATGGGGAGGCTCAAATTGCAGTCATCAGACCTATTCTGTCAAAACGTGAACAAAAATGTACAACCATGCACTTCATTAATGAAAAAAAATTCATGTCACAGAAAAAAAGATGAAAGTTTTATAAACAAATAAAAGCTTCAACTTTGTTTTGAATACTAATTTGGCGGGGGGAAGCTATGAAGATGTTTGGAGGGAAATTTGAATATGGACTAAATGTTAAATGATTCCAAGTATGGTAATATCACAGTTATATAAGTGAATAGCTTTATTTTTAGAAATAAATATTTAAGTACATAGAGGTTAAAAAGTATTACTTACATAACCAACATTTTATTTATTTTGTATGTATGTTAATATGTTCCATGAAATAGTAGTATACCATTCACATAGCTTGCCATTAACTCAGATACCATTGTAAATATTTGGAGGTGATTAATGATCTTTTCTGTGATATCTCATTAATAAATAATTTACAGTTTACCACATTAAAAAAAGTAAAGCTGGAGCTGAAAGCTTCTTTCACTTTAATACCTCTACTAGGTAATGGTTTTCTTCTGCTTCTGATTCGTTCCCCTTATTCCAGAAGAGAGCAAATATCACAGATGTATTCAAGAATTGATAGCACCTTTGTTTTATAAATGATTTGAAATATGTGGTCTGGTATTGGCCTTTGATTTAAAAGAAACTGAAGTTCTATGAACCTGTTTCACTGAACTCTGGTCTGAGTCCTTGAGCCTCTGGCACTGTGGATCGCACAGAGAGGCAGTTTGTGAGTAGGCTCTTCTATGAATGTAGTTCTCACTTACAGGAACTCCTTAATGCTATGTCTGCTGAGAGGATTTAGTATTGATTTTACTTTTATATCTTCAGTATCATTTTGGGTTAATGTTACAACTTGTAAAAAAATTTTGATGCCCAGTAAACAAACTTTTCTTAAAGTATTGTTATTTCTGTCTGACTCTCCTGTAGAACTCAGCCAAGATGTTGCCTCAAAAGGCCTTGGGTTGGTTTATGAACTGGGCAATGAACAAGATCAACAGGAATTGGTTTCTACCCTTGTAGAAACACTTATGACTGGCAAAAGGTATGGTGAACTTGAAAATTTTAGATTTAAACACATAGGGCAAGTTTTGCAATACTGAGTATATGCAATGGATAAATGAAAATTCTGCTTTCTCTTTTCCTGTTTATTAAGCATCTCTTTCTAATTTGCAAATCAAAGATTGTTACATTGTAGATAGCAATTTAATTATGTAGTGTGTACTGTTCAGAAACTAAACTATTATTTAAAAACATGGCTATATGATCAGTCTTTGAAAAATGAATAAACCAAGACAGTTAAAGTATTGGGTTGCAAAAATACCATAATATGTTGGTATGAAAATTACAATGTGAAGAAGAAGCTTGCCTATCATTGACAGTTTGATCTGTGAAGAGCATGAGAGATTGATCATTGCTTTATGTTGCCTGCCTTGTAGAGAGACTAAATTTTAAGATGTGACCACTTTTAATTCAGTGTAACATTATATGAGATATCCTGTATGTCAGTTACTTCATTACTTTGTTTATTCTAGAATTTGTTTTTTAAAATTTTCAGGCTTGTGGAAAGAATTAGTTGACTTTCACATTTTGTACATGATAGATACTTGATAGGAATTTGAATTTATCAGTTTGTAAATAATAAGTAGTTCAACACTGGTGTGAACAATTTGAGGCTATTTAAAATTATTGTTCTTTTTGTTTAGAGTGAAACATGAAGTTTCTGGAGAGACAGTGGTATTTCAAGGGGGAGGCCTTGGCAAAACACCAGATGGGTAAGTATGCCAAGTCCATCGATCAGTCATTTTAGGCATCTTTAGTTTGGTGAATAGAGCACTCACAAGGTTGATTTCTATCTTTCTAAGAAATACTGTATGTTAGTGGAAAAAGAAAACTTGTATGGAAAAGGCCTAGTGTTACCAAATGGGTTTCCAGGGAAACAGACCTATGAGTTGGGAGATTTATATGCTGAAAGTTTATTGAAGGCTTCCCTGGGATTATCACCCTAGGAGCAGTGAGGACGCAGGATATAGCTGATGGCTCAAAAAGGAGGTGAACTGCTCTCTGCCCTCTTGCAGATACCCACCTCTGGAGGCTCCGGAATAGGGCCGGTGTGGCCTTGCAGAATTGTCCTGCTTTGAGGTGCCAGTGTGTATTGTCCTCCTAGCAGGCTTTACCTCCTGTCAGTGATTCTATCAGTGGTGGCCTGCTCTATGGAGGATGTGACCTCGGAGCAAGGGCCGTTGTTAGCCAGTTCCTGGCCAGTGAGTTCTGAGGGGGCAATGAGGCAGGGCAACTTAGCTTCCATGCACCTTGTTTTGTGTTGGGAGCAACTCTTTTTGGTGTCTTTATCTTAGAGTTCACCAACCTGGCATTTCAAATTAGTGCCTAGAACTTCACTATCTTTATCTGATAATTATTCCATTGTGGCTGTGGTGTTGGGCTGCCTCTAAATTTTCAGCCCTTTATTTTTTTAAATTTAAAAAAATTTTTTTTTTCAACGATTTATTTATTTATATATTTATACAAGCACTGGGTACAGTCAGAAGCACGGGATGGTGAGAGAATTCACCAGAGCCAGAGCGGGGAGCAGAGCAGGCAGAAGGACCGAAGTACACTGCTGAGGGGAGCAGTGGGTGGCAGGAGAAGTCTGCATGCCATGTGGGACCCTCTGCCCGTGGCCGGGGAGTAGCCGGGGATCAAACCTGCGCTGCAGAGGCTGCGGGCAGCTTCGCAACCCAGCGCTCAACCGCTGCGCCACCGGGGAGGCCCTGTCTCTAAATTTTCTCTGGTGAAACTGCAGCTCACAGCCTTCCTCCACACAGCCCTACTCCATGCTGTCTGCAGTTCGGCACACCCTTCACTCTGTCCTTGCCATTTGCCCACAGCTGTCTGGTTTCACAGAGCCTTCATTCTGCTTGTTCTCCCTGTAGACTCCTGAGTTTTTAAAAAGTGCTAACTTTCACAACATTACTAACGCAAAGGATCAGGTACTTGAGCAGATACTCAGAGGCAAATTAACAGGTCTCAAAAAAGTTACTGGGATTGGGGTCCTTTAGCTCAGAAAAGACTTAGGGAGACAAGAGTTGTCTTGCCTGATGATTATGAAAGAGATGTGTGCACGACACCCTGCAGAGCCACCGTTCTCCTTCTGCGTGGAGCATGTCGCCTCCATCGGGCTGGCAGGTCTGCCCAGGTCTGCACTAGGCCTGCTGATAAGCAAGTTAGGTGACTGGATATTCTGCTCAGTTCCCTCTCTCTATCCAGTACTAGTAATTTAGTGAAAATGTAATTTTAAAATATCCTGGGAATATTGGTGGTGTAATTTTTATTAGACTGGAGGTAGAGATATACTAAAAACTTTTTGTTTGTTTATTTCCAAGCCAGGGCCTCTCTACTTACAAGGAGCTTTGTTCTCTGGCAAGTGATCTTAGTCAGCCAGATCTGGTGTATAAATTTATGAATTTGGCCAACCATCATGCAATGTGGAACTCTAGGAAGGTAAGTTACTATATCTGGACAGCTTTTTTTTTTTTTTTTTTTTTTTGACATTCCATGAAAACGTTGCCTGCTGCACTGACAGACATTGGTAGTTGATGTGTTGTGTGGTTTGTAAAGGTATGTGAGTAAAGAGAGCCAGACCCCCACACAGCCATTACTGACTGGGAGAGCTGGGTGCTTTGTAAATTGAACTGTTCAGGGACTACTTTGGGAGGGAGAACTTTGTGATTTTCATATATCTAATATGTTAACAACTTACTATAACAGAGCTGAGTCTCTTTATCTTACTGTTTTTTAGGGTGCTGCCTTTGGTTTTAATGTAATTGCTACCAGAGCTGGAGAACAGCTGACACCTTTTCTGCCTCAGTTAGTTCCTCGTCTCTATCGCTACCAGTTTGATCCCAACCTTGGCATCCGACAGGCAATGACAAGTATTTGGAACGCGTTGGTCACCGACAAAACGACGGTAAGTATCTGTGAACCCTTGTCCGAGATTATACTCAGGACTTAAAGCCAGTGTTCATCTCCCTTTCTACTTTGTGTACTTACCTGTTCAAACAAACTTTCATTCCTTGCTGTCTTCCTTCTTTCACAGTTCAAAGATGCTCCTGGCAATTTTTTTTTTGGTATCTCATAAATGGAAACCAGCCAATGGTAGCTGGCTAAGGAAATGGCACTATATTCACACCAGTGGGATACTGTGTGTCATAGATACGGGTACTGTGTGTCCTTTGCCGTTGATGCAGTGGAGAACAGGTCATGTCATTCCTGCCTGAGAGGAGTTGGCTTAGTTGAGGAGATGGACAAAGAAGCAGACAATTCTGGATATGATTTTCTCTCTTGGTTTCCTGTCATCTGACTGCTCCTCACATTTCCTTCATCTTTATATACTAGGATTTCTCAGGGCTTGCCTCTGAGTTCCTTCTGCTTTCTCTATTTTCTTTCTAGATGAGCACATCAGTTCAGTGGCACGTGAATGTCATTTTTACTGTGATCATTCCCAGTCTTACAGTTTTACCCCAGACATGTCTTGTGCACCCGACTTGCTTACCTCACTCCTGCTTAGCATCTTCACTTGGTGGTTGTTCCAAGATAATTTAGACTAACCATGCCTGGAACAGGACATAAAACAACCATACCTGTTTTTTCTCACTCTTCATTTGTTTACCCAATTCAGGAAACTTGGTGTCATCTTTGATTTTTATCTCTCTCATTTCACACCCTCAGTTAAATCCAGTATCAAATTGTCTCTCGTGTCCTAAGTATTCCCGAATCCACTCTGTTCTTTCTTGATGAACAGGTGGTGACCTTTCTCCTGTCTGTCTTCATTTAGTTATCAGAGTAAGATTTTTTAAAATGCAAATTAGGTTGTGCCCTATTGAAATAAAATCCTTGAGTAACTCCATAGTTCCACTTTAAGTACCATGTCTTTCCAGTTCCTGCACATGATGTGGCCATTCCTGCTTCTTTCTATCTGAGTATTTTCTGTTCAGGGTGGTAAGCACTGGAGGGTTTAGCTTTGAAGGCTTGGTGAGTTTCATTTGTTCTGGGAGATTATTTGGTACCATTGGCACAGCCAAGATCTAATAGGCCTTGACTTTAGAGATCTGAGTCAGAGTGTAGGCTTATGTTCCTAAGATACCAGTGTCATCTCTGGAGAATATTTAGAGACGCAGATAATAGAAAGACATCAGTTTGTTAAATTTTAGGTTATTTACTACTCTGTCTTGATTTTCTTATGTATGAGTGTGAATAACAAACCTCTCTTACCTATAAAAGTGGAGAAGCCATATGTTTTCAGGTTCTTTGGGTCAGCATAAAAACTGAGTCTGTTATCCAGGTTTTGTTCTTACTGATTTGTAACTGTATAACAAAGCAGAGGGTTAAAAGATTAAACTCATCTTTTATTCTGAGCAGTCATGATACTTCTTTATGTGCCAGACACTGTGCAAGGTGTAGTGATGCAGAGACAAGTGGGACAGTGTCCCCTGCCTTTGAGGTCTCAGTGTGGTGGCATAGTGAGTTAATGTGTGGTCGATAGGATGTGCTTTAAGAAGGTGCTGTGGCAGTGCAGAGGACGCTGGGCCTGCCTTCTCTGAAGAGCACTTGATTTGAACCTTGAAGGGCAAGTAGGAGTCTGGCAGACAAGTAGGAGGTAGGAGTAGGTAGTATGTGCCAGGGGATGGAGCTGAGATGGGATCGAGACCTATAGAGTGAATAGGTCACTGAGGGCTGTGTGTCCATGCTCAGGTGATTGAACTTTATTCTTATCCACTGAAGACAACCAAGTTTGCATTTTAGAATGATTATTCTGGCAGATTTTAGCAACCAAAGTGGGGAAAGAGTAGTTGACTGAGAGGCCTTGAGAGACCCTTAATGTGTTATATACAGAAACATTCATGTGGTTGAGAGATGAATGATTTGTTGATGGATTTTTAATTTTTAATTTTATCCTTTTGCTTTCATTAGGTGGATAAGTATTTAAAGGAAATTCTTCAAGATTTAATTAAGAACCTTACCAGTAATATGTGGCGAGTTCGAGAATCCAGGTACCATTTTGGAAAATACAAATTGAAATTTTTTTCCTGCATATGTCCAAATTTTATACTTTGTGCAAAAGGAGTAAATTAAGATGACAATTAAGCGTATTTCTTGCTAGGTTAGACAGTTATCATTAGCCATTTAAACTTGTCAGAGGTTTTCCTGAGTTATCTTACGTTTTTGTAAGTATAAAATTAAAGAAATAGAAGATCACTCGTTAAATTGGTAGGCATCAAGATTTATTTTATAACATATATATACATGATAAATGTATAATCTCATGACTTTCTGGGATAGCATATGTATATATACACACACACACACACATATGTGTATGTATATATGTGTGTGTATATATAAACGTATTTCTCTCTTACACACAAACAATTTATATTTATTCAGTACTTACTTGTGATGCATTTGGCGGGGTGTATGCCCTGGGGTACACTGCACACTGGTAAGTAAAAAAGAATGTGTCATGTAAAGAGATTGTGTTGTAGTTGTAGGAAGCAGACATTTGTTGGCTGTAAATGCCATATGCTTTTGGTATATTTGCAGCACAAAGGAGAGAACAGTCATTGTTACTTTGGGGTAAGGGGCTTAGAACTAGAAATACAGGCAGAATTCATACTCTTATTTGATAGGAATGTTTCACAGTAAAGTATTGAGCTTTCTTGATTATATATTTGAAATCAAATTGCTTATTTTCAGCTGTTTAGCTTTGAATGATTTACTGAGAGGAAGACCCTTAGACGACATCATTGATAAACTTCCAGAAATTTGGGAAACTCTATTCAGGGTACAAGATGATATAAAGGTATTTTGGAAATAAATCTGCATTTATTCATAGAATAGCTTAAACTGAAATTGTTAAAATAAACATGTTACAGATTTCAAAATTCAATATTCAGGCAATTTTAAGATCTTAGTTTCTCCCCAAAGTTTTAGTATTGATATGTCGTGAAGTTGCAAGATTCGGTTTCTTTAGCTCTAAATTGAATTGACTTTCCTTTCCTTTTCCTTTTACTGGATGGTGTCACTTATATGTGAAATGTAGAGAAACCAAACAGAGGGTCAGATGAAGCCAAACTAAGACCTAGCTCTAGCAAACTGACCATAGAACTGAAGCTACTGTAGTGGGAGGCAGGGGCAAGGGCAGGGGTGGAGGAAGGTGGGGAGAGAGCACAGAGGACAATGGGGATGAACTGTGGGTGCTTTGATGGTGGATGTGGTACAGCAACAACACTTGAAGAGGCTGACTCTATACTTCTAAAATACAAACAATGTAAACCAACATCAACCTTGACAAAAAAAGAAAGAAAATAAACATGGCCATCTCCTGATTTGCTTTCAGAGGAGACTCATGTTATCGATTAGGATCAAGTTACAGTTTTGAAATAATCCTGAATAATTCTACTTCGATCCGTTTCATAAACTGAATCAGGCATTCCCAAATAATGTGACCAGTTCCTCCTAAATTTTTCCTGGGCAATCTAATGTTAGAGCTGTTGATATGTTAATATTAGGCACTTCATCTTTGCCTTTCTTTTTGCTTTATTCATTAGAGATTTAGAGTCTTTCATAATCCTCATGTTGATCTTTACATATTTACTTTTGTAATGCATTTAGTTTGTACAACATAATAGCCATATTTTTGTATGGTCCAAATAGATCATAAGTAATTAAAAAATATATATGGTATGATAATATGTTCCCTCATGAGCCTGGTGAAACACTGTTTTTTACTTAGTATTGAAAATAGGGTTTTTTTTTTTTACTAATCTGCTTAAAGTCACAGGCACGTAAATACTGTGGGGTAGATGAGAATGAAAATCTCTAACTTGCATGATGCCAGACTTTTTTCATTTTTAGGAATCTGTACGAAAAGCAGCAGAACTAGCTCTGAAAACTCTAAGCAAGGTGAAGACTCTTATTTTACTTTGGGGGTGAAGTGGGGCATATTTCTGTGTGCCATAACTAAAAAGGCTTGTTTTTTTGGTCATATAAAATGACATTTAGTTACAGTGTAATTGGCCCCCTGGTCTTACAATGAATGAGAAATTGGTGGGGGATAGTATTACACTGATATTTTTAATAATGTATATATATCTTTTTAATGGTGAGCTTATCTGCGCCTTTAGATAAAGTTTGCCTTCTCTTATGTATTCCTAAGGAACACATTACTCATTTAGATCAAACAGCATCTGTCTTTTCTGTTACTATTGCTATGTTTATGTGTTAATATGCCTGTGAAATCGGCAAGCTTTTTTAAAACTCATTTCCCACTTGGACTTGGTTTTGTGATCTGTGAGGGACTTCTACATTCTAATTGTATAAATCTTGCCATAGGTCACATTGTTAGTAAGTAGTAATCCAGCTTTTAACCCAAGTGTTTCTCATACTAGATTTGTTTTTGACCACTGTATTTTGCTGCTGCCCAAAGTTATGATGATGATAAATCTTTTTATACATTTTCTCATTTCGTCTTTAACTGTTTCCTATGTCACAGATTAGAAGACCAAAACTTAAAAAGTAAAAAATGTATTACCAAAATTTCTGTTTAGTTATTGGCAGACAGAACTCAATCCCAGATCTCATTCTTCTGTTTCTCTCTGTAGTGTCATATTTTAATTTTTTTCTATGAATATGAGAAATAGGAATTCTTTTGTCAGGTAAATTCTTTATTGGATGAGAGATTGGTTCACTAATTTCTATGCTCTTTGTATGTGAGGTTTGTGTGAAAATGTGTGACCCTGCCAAAGGTGCAGCTGGCCAGCGAACCATTGCCGTCCTTCTGCCTTGCCTTTTGGACAAAGGAATGATGAGTCCTGTAACAGAAGTTCGAGCCCTCAGGTGTGAATCAGCTGATAAATGAATGTGTTGAATTTACTTAGTCCCTAGCCATGTGGTGGGAATTAGATTTCTTTGAATGTTAGATTCTTGAAAGTATGGAAAGTGAGTTGAGGGGACTCCATGGAGGCAGCCCAAGACCAATTGTTGAAAGTTGAGAGTCAGAGCATTTTCACAGAAACATCCTCATGGGACTTATTATTGACAGCCTTATTTTGACCAACGTTCTGCCACCACCTTGAGTAAATGTGTTAATTTTACTGTCATCAACCTCTTTGGGTCCCAGTCAGGCATGTTCCTGTTACTCCACAGGCCCAAGGTTGTTGGTTATGCTACTTCATAATATTTCAGAATAATTCAGTGCAGGGGAAAAAGTATGCCCATGTATGGAGGAGGTATAGATGAGAACACAGTTGGCCAGAGGTTGCCGATTGTTTAGCTGGGTGAAGAATACCCAGAATTTTATTTCTGAGTATCTTTACTTTCATATATGCCAGAAAATTTCTAGTGGAAAAAAAAACAGTGCTAATACCAGGCTCTGTAACCAAAGGATCATATTCCCGAATGGGATAAATAGGAGACCATCCCCATGATTAAATTTGTAGTGCTTCATGCTTACATTACGAAGATTCAGGAGTTGTGTTCTGTGTGTCTGTAGCATTAACACGCTTGTGAAGATCAGCAAAAGTGCAGGAGCCATGCTGAAACCACATGCACCAAAACTCATCCCAGCTCTTCTGGAATCCTTAAGTGTATTGGAACCCCAAGTTCTCAATTATTTGAGCCTCCGGGCAACAGACCAAGAAAAGGTGAGTTGGAAGCACAGGCTTATTGGTAAATACTGTGGAGGAAGAACCCTGTTAAGGTACTGAGGCGCTTCTGGAAGATCCTTCATTGGCCTTAGGCAAGCCCATGATTCCAGCTCACGTGTGTCACACACACAGGATGTTTTTTTGTGGGCGGGGAGGAAGAAGAGTTTCATATTACTCTGTGAATTGTATGAAAGTAACATTTCTACCCAAAAATGCATTGACGTTTATTTAACATAGTTTTTTGATACATGTTTGTTTGTTTGTTTTTTTGAAGTGTGGGTCTATACTTTCAGAATCTTTTTATGGACAACTTATCTTCTGCAAGTAAAAAGGATTTGTCTCTAGACTTTGGCATGGCCCACATCATTTATTGTGAGAAATCAATAGAGCAGAAAGTTATCTCCTAGGAATCCACCTCCCCTGTTTTCTGAGGAGTGCCTATTGTTAACAGTTCCCTGCGTGTTTTCAAATTCTTTCGTAGTTCGAGGCTGCAAAGCTTAGCAAACATACTAATTTAAAAGTAGAATCGCACTGTGATTGTTCCGTGACTTACTTTTTGTTGTTAGCAATGTATCATACCTGTATATAGATCTGCCTCATTCTTTTCAGTGCATGAAGATTAGTCCTACAATAGGTGGTTTTGATTTTTGTGGGAGATTTTGACTTTAAAAGTTATGAATGTTCCGTGTTCTTCACACCTTTGCCAACATTGAATAACATTAATCTGATAAGCAAGAATCTTTTTGTTGTGGTTTACACTTACCATTACTGTTTCCAGTGTCTTTTCACACTGTTTTAGCCATTTCTATTCTGTAAATTGTGTTTTTCTATTTGATGCCTATTTTTGCACTTGACTTATTTATGTTTTTATGTTTATTTTTATTAGTATCATCAAGTCCATGAATATATATTGCTATTTTTTCCCTCAGTTCACTATTTAACTTTTAAATTTGCGTAAATTCTGATAACTTGTTTTCTTTCCCATTTGCCTCTGCTATTGCTGTTTTCTTCTACATTCATCATTCTTCCCTTTTTTTTTTTTTTTTTTTTTTTTTTTTTGTAGCAGAAGACATTTCCCTTCCTGGCTTCTTATAACATGTTTTCTAGGTGCTGACAATTAGGAAACATAAATTCTAGTCCAGACTTTGCAACCATAGGCAAACCACTTCTGTATGCCATACGATTTTTCTTAGGATGTCTGAGTTGTGTTAACTTTTTCTTTAGGGTAGTTGTTAAACTTAAATATCATTGTAGATATGAAGGCCTTTTACAGAATTGAAGCGGTAAATGTATACTTTTTTCTTATTGCTTAGAAAACCTTAGAAATTTATTTAGTCTATTCCTGCATCTAGTGGGTGGAGAGTCTGAGACTTACAAAGGGTGGAATACTTGTTAATTTATAACTGCAGTCAATTTCTCAGTATCATCTGAATTTGTAACCTGTGGTGAGATGCTCCCTGTACAGGTAAATGGTTGAGTCATGGTCAAAAGAAATTAGAGTCAGACTTATGTGTGACTCTGTTATTTTGTATATTATAAGAAGATTCATTTTTGAAATGAATCCCTATTAGGGGAGTGTCCTTGGGGTCCTTAAATTGCTCAGTGACTTGAATTTGTGTTCTTTAGGCTGCAATGGATAGTGCTCGACTCAGCGCTGCCAAATCCTCTCCCATGATGGAAACGATCAACATGGTCAGTACCTACATGTAATATGTTGTTTTTCACCTTAGGATGTGATTGTTCAAACTCCACAGGCTACAAATACTAAAATCCATTAGTCCGGATTGGTGTTGCACAGGATAACAACATAAATGATCTCTCTTTTAATATGTTTCTTTTGACCTATCTTTCTTTTGGCCTGCCTGTTTAGAAAGGTTCAGATTTCACCTCTGCTTGAGTGTTATCTTTGGGAGGAACTGGGAAGGTTTCAGTGAAGTGGGTACCATAGATTGGTGAAGAAAATTGTTGTTTTAAAATTGCTGTTTAAGTTATGGGAGGGGATTTGTAGAAAGTTGCTTGGCTCTGAGGTTCTAAGTTCCAAAGTTGTGGAGTTTGGTTTAGAAATTACTAAACTCATTAAAACTGACTGCCATGCTTAGCCAGTAGTGGTTAATTGAGAGCTTGTTAGTTACTGGCAACTCTTCTCCTAAGCAAATCATAAGGCTGGGCAAAAGAAATCGGTAATTTAGGTGCCTACTGGGAGACTATTACCAAAATTTGGTCTGTGGACCTTGTATCTTAATTGGGTTATTGGGAGAAATAGAAAGCTTAAGGAAATAGTGAACACCTGCAGATACGTTCATTAATAATAGGATTTATATCACTGCATTATGCAATATGGTCAGTTTTGTTAAGAAGTTGACAATAATTGCTTTTCTTTTGTTTTGAATGTTGAACACTGATGAATACTTTTTTGTGTGTGTAATACATGGTGGTTTTAACATTTTTCAATTGAATGTGAAATCTAGTGGGTACATATTTAACAGTTTTTAATTGGAGATGGGGTACAAGTATTTGTTAAGGTTAACTTTATATTTATGTTCTCTTGTTTCAAAAGTGCCTGCAATATCTTGATGTGTCGGTGCTGGGTGAGCTAGTTCCTAGATTATGTGAGCTGATCAGAAGTGGTGTGGGTCTTGGAACTAAGGTAAGTAAGTATATTTTTCAAATGAGGAATTTGCAACTTCATTGGTTTTGCCCACGAAAATAGAATAGCCATCATGTTTGAAGTTCTTATTTTTCTGTAAAACCTAATATTATTTTATAGTCACTTTTGTTATCATGACTGTACTCATAACTTAAAACATGTAACTGATTCAGAAAATAAAACATGGGACTTAGTGAATATTGTCTTACTTTATTAATGCAGTTCTCTCTCTCCACTGGTTGCCCTGCACATGCTGGCTCTCTCTTGGTTCATTATTGGTTATTGGTGGGGCTGTTCACGCCTCATCAACCCCCAGGTGTGTTTTTTAGGGAATGATTAGCTCCCCACCCCACTCTTTAAAACAGACACCTCAATTTTTTTTTTGTCTTGAAATAATTAATGCTTACCTTTAAAGATTTTAGTAGAAATCCCCTACTTTTAGGCGAACACTAAAAATTGTCTGTAATTTAACACCTAGCGATAATTGATGGTAATGTTTCCAAGTGTTTCTTCCTGGACTCTTCTATACATTTGCCCTCTATGGTCTCTCCTTTAACGACCATGTAGTAGTTTATTGCGTAGATAATCCATCCAGTAACATCAAGTTTGTTTTCAGCTTTAAACAAAGCATGAAATGAGTGTCTTTTGACATATATAAGGCTATTTCCTTTATTAAATTTTTAGAACTGGCGATGTTAGAACAAAGGTGGATACGATGACTTATGGTGCCTTCCTGAAAAATTGTATCAATTTTCTTTTTTACTTGTAGTGTAGCAGAGTATGCATCTTCCATGCTGAAGGTCTTGAGAAAAATCTTGGCATTTTAATTTGATAGGAGAGTGTTCCTCTTTATAATTGAATCCTAGAGAGTCTGTTCAGCTTCATGGTTTGATAGACAAAGCATTGTGACCATCACATTTAGACCTTTGCTTTTGTAACCTTGTAGGGAGGCTGTGCCAGCGTCATTGTGTCATTAACTACTCAGTGTCCCCAGGACCTTACACCTTACTCAGGTGAGTTTGTCAGAACCATGCTGGTGATATTTTTGTGTCCTCAAACCTTGTGTGACAAAGTTTTAAAAGGAAAAATAATTATCTTTTAGACACACTTGTAATACTATATGCTTTTTTCCTTTTCTTCCCTTTTTATTTGCAAGAGGCACAGTGATTATCAGGTTTAGCAAGTTTTCCGTTTTTTGTGTTTGATGTACAGTGGTACATGGAGGTGAAATTATCTGCCATGTAGATTTGCTTGCTGTTTATTGCTAGTTTTTTGCATGAGCATTTTTCTCTACTGTATTGGCTTCTACATGGGTTTAATGAATTTTATGTAGCTAGTTCTCATTTTTGCAACTTCCCCTACAATAGTCTAGACACAAATTATTTTTAATTTTATGTCTATCAAAGGGAAGCAAGTGGATAGTATAAATGTAACATAAAAGGGATCTAGACTTTCATGGAGTAAGTAAGATGTTAATTACAGAGTTAAGTTTGTTTTCATCCTCGGAATAGAGCAGGACATTTGGTCAACCAGGTATCAGATTTTTCTTCCATATTCCTGACAGGTAAACTTATGAGTGCTTTGCTTAGTGGCCTGACAGATCGGAACAGTGTAATTCAGAAATCCTGTGCATTTGCCATGGGCCATTTAGTTCGGGTGAGTTGAATTTCTAATGTAGCTAAGTAATTACACTGTAATAATTACAATGAAATGATGATGCTTGTTTTTTTTTTTAGACCTCACGGGATAGCAGCACTGAAAAACTCCTGCAGAAGCTCAATGGCTGGTATATGGAGAAAGAAGGTATCCTCTCTCCTCTATTTCATATTATCTTTAATTTAGAAGTTATAATTTAACAAAAAATTCAAATCTTATCCTCTGTGATTTTATGTAGTTTGCTAGAAACATTTCTAATTATCTATTTATCTGTTTTCTGTGGTGCAAATTGAGCATTCGTCTGTTTAGATCATCTCTAAAGATTATGCTTCTCTTTGCTACTGTTTAGAACCCATCTACAAGACCTCTTGTGCTTTGACTGTTCATGCTATTGGACGGTACAGCCCTGATGTGTTGAAGAACCATGCCAAGGAAGTTCTGCCTTTGGCGTTTCTAGGCATGCATGAAATTGCTGATGAGGAGAAATCTGAAAAAGAAGAATGTAACTTATGGACTGAAGTATGGCAGGAAAATGTCCCTGGTTAGTAAATAATGCCTGTGAGTCAAGTCTGTTGTTTAATCACATCTGGATGTTTTATTCATACTCTTTATTCAGAAACTCCTGTAGTTACTTTCCAAGGACCTTAACATGTATCCCATTTGGTTTGCAGCCTATCCAAACAACTGGGTTGTCAAGGTTGGCGCTCAGAACTTTTCACTCATGGCTGCGTGTGTGAGCAATACTTTTGCTCTGTCCAAGCAAAGGAAAGCTTTACTTATCTTAGATGAGAGTAAAACAGTGATTCTGTGTCACCTTCGAGTATTATTTTAGAGTAGTATGTCTTAGCAGTGTTTTTCACCTTGATACATATTAATGGATGGTGACATTTTCATAACATCCTTTCGTGGACATACCCAAGTTCATAGAGCCCTTCTGTTGCAAAGATAAGTTGCCATACCTCACCCTTCCTCTCTTTGAGAGAGTGGTGTGATAATACCATTGAGAATCATTGCTTTAGCCTAATGGTCTCTAACTTAGGGGGAAAAGTCAGTTTAATTTATTTTGTCATTTAAACATTATTTAATTTTGCTTTTCATCATATAGGTTCCTTTGGTGGCATTCGATTGTACCTGCAGGAGTTGATTACCATTACCCAGAAGGCTTTACAGTCTCAGTCCTGGAAAATGAAAGCCCAGGGTGCAATTGCCATGGCATCGATTGCAAAACAAACCAGCTCCCTAGTACCTCCATATCTGGGAATGATACTGACTGCATTACTGCAAGGCCTAGCAGGAAGAACATGGGCAGGAAAGGTAAAGGAACCATGCATGCCCAGTTGAATTTAAGGTATCCTTTAAAGGATTATGACTTCATTTTTCCTTTTCTAGAAAAATAACCTGGCTTTGTGGAACTTCATTCTGATGAATTGTTTTTGTGAGCCAGATTTCATAGCCAATGGGGAAATTTGGGTAACTTTGCCTGATAAAGTATATGTCATCAAAATAACCCACGTGTCCTTGAATATGTGTGGTGATGCTGAGGATTGATTTTATTTATCATGCCCAGCTTTCCAAGCTAAGTCTTAAACTTAAGAGTTCACCATTTTGTACCAGTTGACCAATGGATGATCAGAATCAGGTGTATGTGAAATTGAGTAGCAAGGCAAGCTACATCTAATCCTAGAGCTGAGAATACCAATCTCCGGGACATACGAATTCATACAAGTCATTTTTATATGAGGGCAATAGTATGGTACTTAACAGTGAGCACTCAGTGAGAACATGAGATTGTGGCAACATACAAGGATCTATCTGGTTTTGTAAAAGTCTATAGTAAGTTGGTAGTAAAAGCCAGTACTGTAGAAGTACTGAACTTAGGAGGAAGACTCAGTCAGATGACGTGGGTGCACATCTACCTGAGTGACCTTGGGCAAGTCAGTTCTCTAGCTCTTTATAGAAATGAATATAGTTGTCCTGTCTCTGGTTTGGAGTAGAACTATTTTGAAGTGCTTGTTAAACAGTTAAGTGCATTAAAGAGAAGATGGGATTGGTTAATTTTTGAAGTCGTAATTATTAAATATTTCTGAGGTAACTGTAGTCATTGCAGGAGAATATTCCAGAGACACATGTGCTTAATGGTATTTCTTCATGTTTCATCCCATCAGGAGGAGCTCTTGAAAGCCATTGCCTGTGTGGTGACAGCTTGCAGGTAATGTTCTTTCAGTGAAGATTCTATTTCTTAAACTGAACCTGAAAGCTCAGCCTTCATTAATTGTTCTGATGCTTTTGTGTGGATCCTGTAGTGCAGAGCTGGAAAAGCCTGTGCCCAATCAACCCAGCATAGATGAGATTCTCCAAGCTGTTCTGAAGGAGTGTTGCAAAGAGAACCTCAAGTACAAGATTGTAGCTATCAGCTGTGCGGCAGATGTCTTGAAGGCCACCAAAGAAGACAGATTTCAGGAGTTTTCTGACATTGTCATACCTCTCATCAAGAAGGTAATGACCATCTCTATCCTCTCAGGTCTGGTTTATGCTTTAGAAAACTTTAAAAAAAAAAAGAAAAAGAAGAAAAGATTTTCCTGTGTCCTGTTTGCTTGTTTTATTAGAATAAGTGTAATAAGTGTATTTATTAGAATAAGTGTAACTGCAAATAGCAGAAAACACCAAAGTGCCGCAGCTTCAAACACAAGAGAAGTTTGTTTCTCACATAATAGTTTAGGAATTCTGGCTCTTTACAGCTGCCAGCTCTGCTGTCCCTGGGATGTAGCCATTGTCTTCGTGGTCCACAGTGTAGCTGCATTGCAGACAGGAGGTGGCAGAGAAGATGAAGAGAGGATGAAGGATCCAAGTGGACTTGACAGTTTTCTCTTAAGGACAGTTTCTGGAAACTTCTCCACAGCACTTGCACTTCTTGCCCGTTGGCTTAGCCACATAGCCACACTGGCTGCAGATGAAGCTAGGAAAGGTTGTCTTCATTCCAGGCTCCTATTTGCCCGCTGTGGCAGAAGGGCAGAGTGGATGGTGGAGTGAATGAACTCTGTCTGTCATAGTCACACTAAACTTAACCCTGTGAGCACGAACAGAAGCCACCCCAGTCATTTCTAGAGTGAAGACGGAACGCACTGTGTCACTGTTGACTGCCTTTGCCATATATTCGGGGACTTTGGTGTTTGATTTTATTTGGAAAATGAAATATTTGTTTTTAAAGGTTGAGTACTGAGTCAAAGAAAAAAAGGTATCATTTACCTGTTTATTTGTGAAAGATGAAATATTTTGAATAATGTTATTTCTTATGTTCCTGCTAATTTGCAGTTGTTTTCTTTTAATAAAACAATGTTGAACGTGTAATTTCTGTTACATGCAATACAGTGTGTGGCTTTGGGAGGCTTGCATTTTAATTTGATTACATCACTAGCTAACTGGCCAAGTCACTTTTTGGCCTCTGTTTCACTCATATATTAAGGAAGAATTTGGATTTAGATTTTTACTGATGAGTTCTTCCTCTTTAATTTCATGATTATAGTGCAAGTCTTTGTTATGTTGAGTTCAAAACACTATATATACATTATTTTTTCTTACTTTGCTCACAGATTTCTTAAAGGATTTACTAAAGAGGTATAGTGTTCTTGTTACAAATTGCAAAAATCATTTAGCATTTAATTTAGCATTTTAGCAGAGAATTTAGCTTTTAATTCTTGGTTACCATATCATACTCTGGTACCTTCAGTGTATACCTGCAACTTTGAAAATTTTTTTTTTTTACTTTTTGCCGTCCTTTCTATGACATGTCCTAGAACTCACCTGAAAGCATTGGAGTCCGGACTAACAAAAATGAGGATGAGAATGAGAAGGAAAAGGAGCTCCAGCTGGACTCCTTGCTGGGAGCATTTGAGAGTCTTGGCAAAGCCTGGCCTCGAAATGAGGAGACCCAACGTAAGTACCTGAAACTGCATTTGAAGAAGTAATCAGAGGTTCCTTAGTGAGGGCAAAGATGCTTTGCATGATAAATTATAGTTATTGTTGTCTTGTACAGCCTGATTCAGTAATAGTGAAATGTCCAATATAAATTTTATTCCTATATCAGCAGATAATCTCACTCACCATTGTATCAGTTTGCTGGGACAGCTATATCAAAGTACCACAGATTGGGTGGCTTAAACACCAGAAAGGAATTTTCTCATAATTCTGGAGACTAGATGTCTTGAGATCATGGTGTTGACAGAGTTATCATCTTCTGAGATGTCTCTCCTTGACTTGTAAATAGCCACCCATGTCTGTGTTCTAATATCCTTTTTTTAAAAGGCACCATTGATACTGGATTAGAGGTCACCCAAATTACCTCCTTAAAGACCCTGTCTCCCAGTACAGTCACATTCCATTTGGAGTGAGGACTTTAATATAGGAATTTTGAGAACACAGTTAAGCCCGTAACAACCATGATATGTTTTATATATATTGTTTGACTATAAAAAAGAATGCTGTTACCTTTCTTTATGATGCTCTATTTTGAGGAATCCACAGAATTTATTGGTGGGGTATTCTTGAAATTTGTGAAGAGTATTATTGATTGTGATTGGTTATGTCTTAAATCAGACTTAATGAGCCTTGCTAACCTTTGTGTGGACTTTAAAAAGTATATTTACTATGTATAGAAAGAATTTTCCAAGACATACTATAAATTTTGTGTTCTTTTTTCTTGGAGTGAAGTGGAAGTCCTCATGTTTGACATCATCAGGACTACTAGCTTTTGCTTGAAAGGTCTTGGAGAATTTGACTGTTCCACATTGGTTTCTCCTGTACGTCTTACTGAAAATGTATCATCTACAGTGTCGGCTTGGTCTCTTGAAAGCAAAGGAAGAATTTACAGTCTTTCTCAAAGCAATTCAAGTGTAGAATTCTTGTAGATCTTTAGCCGACTTCATTTGTTTTGACTGTCCTAAATTGTACAGCATTTAAAAAATGGCTTCTTTGTTATGTTTTATATTCCTGTTTCATTAGTTAGCATACTGTTAATTACATAATTGTAATAACAAGTCCAGTTGGCCTAACAGGTTTGGGGTAAAACACTGTTGACTCTTGGTAAGCCAACAACTTGTAAGAAGCCTGTGACTGTCTAGAGAGGAACTCCTGACCTCCAGAGTTCTCCTTTTTTTGGCCGTCATTCAGGGTGTTTTTTAGGGAAGCAGGAATGTGGTTAAAATGTTGTGTCAGTTCCTTGGAGAAAGATATTGCCTTGGAAGTGATCATTTATGAACATTTATATTGGGACCTTAAGTTGGGGCTGGGTGGGATGGGAGGTGGGAGTGGTTTTTATTGGGGAAATTTGTTTAGGGATTTTTGGGGGAAATTTTGGTCTTTAATTAAAGGCATTTATTATTTTATTTTTTCCCTCTCTTCCTTCCTCTCCCTAACCCTCCTTCCCTGTCCCTCTACCCCTCTCTGTTCTTGGCTACCCGTGTCTACCCCTCACTTACTTTGTGTCTTGCTCCTTCCCATTCTCTGTCCTACTTTGTCCGATTCTGTTGCTTTTCCTCCCCACTCCAGGTTGTTATCGCCAGGAGCTGTGCAAACTGATGTGTGAACGGCTAAAACTCAGCACATGGAAAGTGCAGCTAGGAGTCCTGCAGTCAATGAATGCCTTTTTTCGGGGGTAATTTGCTTTATGATTCAGTCATTTATTTTACATATTATCAGTGGAAGTCTTGTAAAATTTAAAACTCACAACTGACATCATGAAAAGATATATGGAATAGAAATTGTTTCTGCCAGAAAGTTTCGGAATTTTTTTAGTAACATTTGTATCTTGCTTTCTGGTTTGTACAGACTAATGCTTTTAGAAGAAGAGCATGCAGATCCTGAGGCTTTGACTGAAATTCTCCTTGAAACTTGTAAAGCAATCACGTATTCTTTAGGTGAGCCTATTAAACTGACATTGATAAGGAGTCCTGGTTTTAAAAACTCAAGGATCTAAGCTTCAAATAATATTCCCTACCTTGTGCTAGGAATTAAATTTATGGAGCAACTATTGAACAGTTTTATTTAGTATATTCAATATGTTCCCCTAAGCTTTAATATTTTAACCTGGAACTTTGATTTAGGATTTTAGGCCTAGATTAGGAAAACCTTGTAACAGGTATTTTTAAAAACTTTCATTTGGAAATAATTTCAAACTACACAAAAGTTGTAGTAACAGTACATATTGTGTCTGTGTATTCTTTACTCAGAGACATCTATTAACACTTCTCCATTTGGTTTATCGTGCGCACTTCTGTGTGCATAGTTTTTTCCTGCTCCATTTGAACGGGTGTTGCTTACCTCATCCTCCTTTACTTCCAAGTTCTTCAGTTAGTATTCTTTTATGTAACCACTGTACCATCATCAGCTTTGGTGGTATTACATTGTTAACCTTGTATTTTAATCAAATTTTTACCATTCATATTCTACATTTTCAGTTGACTCAGTAATGTTCTTTACAAAAATTACCCCTACCTCTCCATTAGGAAATTCAGTCCAGGATCACTTACTGAATTTAATTTTCCTATTTTCTTAGTTGCTTGTAGCCTGGAACATTTTCTCGGTCTTTGTCTTGTAGAACATTTAAAATTTTGAAGAAAAGACAACATTACCACCTTCCCCTTAAAATTAGAATGTGTCAGAATGTTTCTCATTTGATGTTTGTCTGATGTCTCCTTGTGATTAGATCCAGGTTATGAGTTCCCAGTTGGCATACACCATAAGTGATGTTGTGTCCTCTCACATCAAGAGGCACACAGTGTCCATCTGCCTTCACTGGCGATGTTAATTTTGCTTACCTGGTCAAGGTATTACTCAATTTTTTCTGCTGTACAGTTACTATTTTTCCCTTCTGTGTCTAATAAGCAGCCATGGTAACACGCTTAAAGACCATTCAAATAACCTGCTTCTCTTGAAAACTGCATCTAATAAGTAGTCTGGGAGAAGACACTTTAAGACATGCAAAAAATACTGCTCCTCTTCAAAATGTCTTCTCTGGACCTAGCATGCATTAATGGTTTTTCCCTGAACCAGTTTTTACTAAGATGATATTCTAACTCTGGCACTTCCTCCACATTTGCCATTTGGCAGTTGGCATCCTATCGGAAGCAGGATCCTTCCTTTGTTCCTTATGTCTTTATTTATCTATCATCAATGTGAATATATAGATTCCCCTGCTCCCCCCGCCCCATTGGTTTATAATGCATTATATTCCTTCTTTCATTTGTTGCTCAGATTGACTGAGATTTGACTAGGGAAGCCCCTTCAAGCTGCCTTCCGTGTCCTCTTGGCAGGTCTCTGTCATCCTTTTAAGCACGTCCTTGTAGTATCACAGGATGTTAAAGCTCATCATTACCCCTTGCCTTGGACTTGGTTATTAATTTTTTATGCACAAAATTCTACCGTGAACTAGAAATTAGAGTAGATACCAAGGAAGCATATTTCTGTCACAATTCATGGAGGTAGCGTGCCTTTGGATAAAGAACTGGCAGCCAAGAGGTGTGTCTGTGCAGGGTCTCAGCTATCTCTGAGTTGATGTAAACCCTGGGTTGTGTAATGTTCTTTGGTAAAATGAGGAGAGTCATGTAAACCTTAAGTCCTTTCTTAGGTGTCATATGAAGATGACTGTTTGGATAGTGTGTTTTGGTTTTCACCTTTAAAGTACTCTTTAAAGTTTTTCAAGTATCATATAAGATAACCTTTTAACCTTACTTAAAAACAGGTGTATCTTTCCCTGAATTTATAATTTCTGAACATTGTTCTTTCAGTAACACTAATTTAGTCTTAAGAGTTTCTATCTGTAAAGATCATAAGACAAGTAATGTGAACTATATTATTTTTCTCCTTAGAAAATAAGACCTACTCATCTGTGAGAACAGAAGCTTTATCTGTGATAGAATTACTGCTTAAAAAACTTGAAGGTGAGTTTTTGAGAATTCTGGTCAGAGGAAAAGCCAAGACTCTTTGTAATGTATGTTTTAGGAGTGTTTTGGTTTCATTTTTGCTTTTAATAATCATACAATCTAGAATACAGATCGACAGAGGTATATGCAAGTGGAATGTACAAAGCTAAATTCTTTAAATTTTACCAAGTGTTTAAATTTGGTACTCTTATTTTATATACGTTTAACGTATTATGAAGCTCTAGTTATCTCACAGTACTACAGTTTTGTTTCCATTGTAGATCCTGATTTAATCTTCATTAATTATAGATTGTGGTCAACAGTGGCAAAGTAGAGTTCATTGTATACATCTAAGTAAACAGACCGACACACTGAAAAGTGGAGTTGGAAAAACGTTTTGACAATTACTCATCAAATTTGATGGCGATTTTCTTTTTCTTTTTTTTTTTTGATGGCGATTTTCTTAATCTTATTTTTTACCCTCCCCACCCCAGCTTGCTTTCTTTAAACCGTCTTAGCCACAAGCAGATTTCTTCTAATGTGTCTGTTGTATGAATGGAAAACTGCTGGCATTTTCTCTATGAGTGTGTCTATTACCAATTTCAAAAGAAGCCGTCTTTATTCTTTTTCTTTAACTCTGTGGATTAACATTGGGGAAGGTAGTGAAGATGGGGAAATGAATCTAGTTTTCTTTTGACTTTTAGTTATTTGCTCCTTCTGCTTCGCTGTATCTTTGCTTTAGCAATAAAATCACCTCTCCTAGAGTCCATAAAACAGGCCTTTTGGACCTGCTAGCACTACACTTCTTATAATCCCTTTTTTTCCTTGTTAAATAAAAGAGCTAGGCACTTAGTTATATCACTGAATTTTCGGTTTGCCAGAAAATGAGGCTAAAAGGTGAAATAATAACTTGTTTGAAATAGCTTTAGAGTTACAGAACCTCATAAACATTTAGGCTCTGCTTGTATTTTTTGAGTTTCCAAAATTTTCCATATATATATTCTCTGATGTTTTTACAATTATGAAATTTGTTCATCATATTTTTATTGAGCGTATCTTATTATAAAGAAGCTTTTAGTTATTGAAATGACTTTTTGTTACCCGTGTTTTGCTGTGATACTTCTCACTTCTCTTTTTGCTTCAGTATCTCTCATTTCCCCTTGTCCCACCAGTACTGGAGTAAGGGGATGAAATTCCCTGATATGCTTCTAGGGTTTTGTCACCAATCAGGTTTTGAGACAACTATGAACGTGCGATCATTATCGACTGTCCTGTTATCAAGGGGTTGCTTTGCATTTATTTGGGGGATAGATTCCATGGAAGAAAAGCAGAAAGCATGATTCTAATTGTTTTTTGCTTGCTTGTTCTATAAGGACTTCCCTCCCTCCCCCTTTCTTTTCCTATTCAGAATCTAAACAGTGGGAAAGTTTGACATCTGAATGCCGAGCACTCCTAATTGAATCTTTAGCAACTATGGAGACAGACAGCAGACCTGAACTGCAGGAGAAAGCATCATTACTGAAGAAAACACTTGAAAATCTGGAATAAATTAGAAGGGGAAGAAACAAACAAGTGCCATGTTTATTGGGGTTGAAATGGTGGTATTCTTTGAAAAGAAGTGGGAAAAGTAAAGATTAATCTGTAGCATGCATCATTCCTTGGCTGAAATAAAAAAAAAAAATGCCTTAAATTTTGTTCCTTATTAGCTTTATTTTACTCGATGTTTTCAAAATAGCTGAGCTGAGTGAACTTAATGGAACTTCGAATGTTTGAGAGGTGATTGTAGATGAAACTGACACAGTTATTAAAAGAAAGAAAGCTGTTATTAAATGAATTGACAGACAAAAGTTGCAGAGCACGCTGGATAAAAATCTTACAACTGCATCCAAATTAAATAAAATTATTTCAGAAAGGGACCTGTAATCACTTCATTTAACCCCCTTATTTTGCACCTGAAGAAATAGTCTATGAGATGACACAATTTCCTTTATGAGTCTGTGCCAAAACCAAACCCCAGGTGTTTGAAGACTTGCCTGGTGATGCTTTCTTTTACAACCTGCTCCTGATCAGTGCTAACCCTGGCCGACCTGAGAAACTCCTAAGATAAGGTGCATACACTAGCCTTTACCAAACCCACCCATTACCTCAGCACCACAGGAGCTGAATATTGTCTTGTCATTAGTTTAGATAATTGACTTTTAGAAATGATTATTTAGCGTCTTCACAGGTTGAGAGGGAGAATACAGTCACATGATCATTCGGATTGTCCTTTTACAGGCAGATGAAAATAGATTAGGACAAGGGTGCTCATTCTATCTATCTTTGGTTGCATATTTAGCAAAACCCTATCCAAAAACCAAAATCACAACTGCTTTGGTTTAGACCATTTATAATCTCAAAGCTGTAAAGCCAACTTAAAATTTTCCACCCTCTTTTCCGCTATAGGAGAGAAAGGAAAGCATTTTAATTAGCCATCTGGGAATAATGTGATACCACTCAAAATAATTGCAGGGTTTCTTCCTTTCTTTCTACAGCTCACACCCCTGCCTAAGTAAGGATGCAGAGCAAGGGGGGAAAACTTGTTTAATGTAAATGTTTATGATACACCAAGAACTCCTAGCTTCTCCTGGATTCCAAGCAGAAAATGCGCTTACACTCAATACTGACCCCTTATTGACAACACCAAGATAGAAACTCCATGTTTATTAATTTTGGTGATCTCTATTGGCCAATTTCAAGCTTTTTGGACTGTGACGCATAGTTAAAAATCCTTTTTTGCGTTGTGACCCAGATGAGAGAGAGTGTGTGTGTGTGTATGTAGAAAATGTAAAATCATTAGCTGAAATAAATGTTTTGTGAAATAATGCATACTCTTACTATGTGTGATATACTTTGATTCCTTGGTTCTACTCCCCTGACCTACACACCATCCCACCCCCCACCACTCTCCACCCCCATTTTCACGTGCACCTCAGATTCACTAAAATTCCTTTCCTAACTCACAAATGAGTTGCTATTCAGTTCTTAAAAACAGTACCGTCAATAGTACCTAAACTTGGCTATATGTTCTGAGTTTTGGGGTTGCTTCTGATTGAAAAAGGGGTTTACAAGTGAAAATTTGTTACCAAAAGATTTCTTCGCTGATACAAAATATAATTGTTTCAGTAGTAGTGTGAATTTTAAGAAACCTAGGAATGGATTTCCAATTAAAATGGATTTTGCTTGGTGAAAATCAGCTTTGGGTGTTTTTCAGAAACTTAGGACTTGGTGTTTTCCACAAAGTCACCTCTGATTTTCATTTATAGGACCTAGGAAACTGTTTATAGGCAAAAATGCAGTGTAGGCCGGGTATTTTCAGAAACTAAGAATGAAAGAGCGAGAATTGTACTCTTGGCCTACATCGTGTGTTAAAACCTCATCAAATTTTGTGATTTTTCAACTTTCTGTTATTTAATATAGGGAATTTCCCATGGTGCTGAGTGTGGTGCTAAGATACTTGTGCTATTGAATTTATTTATTTGAGCTTTCTAATCGCATTTCTAATTTGTACACTTAATGCCTTCATCTTGGCCAGCCAAAACATTTATTTTACATAACAATGCTAAATCAGGGCCTCCTGTTGCAGTAGGTCTTGGTGTGCATGTGCTTACGTTTTTATTTAAAAGGGTTAATAACTGAGAGTTTGTAATTGTGGGATGTTGATACTGTTGAACAAATGGCAGAAGGATCCAAGCATGTTTTTATCTTTGGCCTTTATCTTTCAAAGCTATCTGGAACAGATTTTTAATATTTTTTTCCTCTAGGAATATTCAGTGCTACTTGTCATACAAGCATCTGATTAAGATAGTCTAATTACTGAATTCCTTATTCCTGGATTTAGTGCACTAGATATATCTTCACAATTTTAGTGATACTTGAAGTTTGGTAATTGGAACTGAGAACAATAAAATAGTGTAAGATTATCTTTTTGGTGATAAAGAGCAACAGTTTCTTTAATGTTTGTGTCCCATTTATAATTTTCAGTGTTTCTGCCTGTAATAGAGTTCACCTGCACAATAAATCTGAAGGCCACCAAATCCCCACTGTTCCCCTCTCCCATCTTGTACTCATGTACTCACTCTAGGTGCAACTGCAGGCATGGACACTGCCCGCTAGGGGGACGTTTCTACCTGCTGCAGCCACAATACATTCATGCTGCTTGTTAAGTAGAAGGAGGCTTTTTGGTTTGTTCCTTTTTTTTTTTTTTTTTTTTTTTGGGCACTCATTGTAATGTACAAACTGTTGTTAAATGGATGTTTGTGTAATAGATTTTTGTATTTTATATGCAAAGTCTTCATAGAATCCTCTGCAATATATAGTCATCTAGCCAAGCATGTGATCGTCTTTGAAAGAAAAATTCTTTCCATGCCAAAGAAGATAATAAGTGGAAAATAAAAGCTGCGTGATCACTTCTTTTGAAGGAGTGCATTAATTTTACCAGTTATTTAGGGGAAAAGTTCAACTTCTAAAGCACTGACTATATACTTAAACATCAGAAAGATCTTACTGCCTTTTGTATTCTGAGCTCCTCGAGCGGAAATTGTTGGCTTAAGGGGAAATTATAAGGCAAAACAAATAAAGGTAAGACAAGACAACTGAATGATTGTTATTGAGTGCATGGAGAAATTTTTTTTTGATGAAAGTAACTCCAGATGAGCATAAGACAGCAAATAGGCAGTTCTTTTGACTAAGATTTATATATATGGCTATGGACATAAAGAATCAGGTACAGGCACATACTGTAAACTGCGAAAAAAATTCTCTGCTATGTGAGATAAGCTAAAATGTGAGATTTACTTTGCTTGTTCTCTCCTACTAGTCATCAAGTTTTATTTCAGCACTACAAAGGTGTTCCACTGTTTCTGGCCTCTTAGGTTTCCTGTGTGACATCTGTGCTCATTTAAATTGTTTCCTTGGATTTGTCATTTCCTCTGGCAGTTTCCAGGATTTTTTCTGTTTTGGGGTTTAATCACTCTGATGATTATGTATGTTTTCCTTTGTATTTATCCTGTTTAAGATTTGCTTTGATTTTTGAATTTCTAAATTTTTGTACTTCACCAAATTTGGGATATCTTAGGCCATTATTTACTCATTTTTTTCCTGGTGCTATCTTGGACTCCAATTTTACCTATTTGATGATACAGTTCTCTGTACTGATCTTTAAAATAGGAATATAGAGGAATCCTATACACAAGTGTATACGAACAAGTTAGATAGCATGAAATGGACAACTTTTTAGGAAGACAAACTAAAATTGTACTAAAGAAATAGAAAATATGACTAGAGCTCTATCAACTAAATAATCAAAAAGCTATCTACAAAGAAAAGCTCAGTCCCGGATGGTGAATTCTAAAGACTACTGTTTCTTCAAATCTATTGAAAAAAATACAAGAGGGAATACTTCCTAACTCATTCTGTGATGTTGGTATCTTATCTGAAAATGAAATGGCACCCTGATACCAAAGGCAGACAAAGACATCAGATGAGAAGAAAAGAAAAACTCTAGAGCAATTTCTCTTATAAGTATACACATGAAAATCTTCAACAAAATACTAGAAATGGAATGAAGCAAAATATAAGAGGGGTTATACATCATGACCATATGGGGGGATTGATTTTAGGAATATAAGGTTTTTTACATATGAAGAACATTAAAAAAATTTTGGTAGAAGATTTATTCATGCATATAAGAACTGGGGTACAGTTAGGGGGTGAAAGGACTCACCAAAGAGTGGGAAGCAGAACAGGTAGATGTACTGAAATACACCTCTGAGGGAAGCATCGGGCAAGACGAGAGGTCTGCTGTGCCATGTGGGTCAGCTCCCTAGCTGGCTGGGGATCGAACTCGTGCTTTACTGGCTGGCAGTAGCTTGATAGCACTGTCTTTAACCCTTGTGCCACCAGGGAGGTCCAATTCATGTAAAACATTGTACACATAATAAAGGACAAAACCACATGATCTCAATAGATGCAGAAAAAGCATTTGACAAATTGAACACAGCTTCATATTTAAAAGAGGATAGGAGGAGGGCGTCCCCTGGTGGCGCAGCGGTTGAGCGCTGGGCTGCGATGCTGCCCGCAGCCTCTGCAGCACCGGTTCGTTCCCCGTCTCTGCGAGGGTCCCACAAAACAAAAAACACAGGATAGGAGGAAACGTCATCAATTTGATAAATGGCATGTACAAGAACAGCTTACATCATACAAAGTGAAAAATAACAGTACACAATGTTACAGGATGGGGTTACACAATACATAATGGAGAAAGAGGAATGCTTTCCTATTAAGATCAAGAATGAGATAAAGATGTTTATTCTCATCATTTCTATTCAACATTATACTGGGTCTTTAACCAGAGCAATGAGTCAAGAAAATGAAATAAAATGCATCCAAATTGGAAAGGAAGAAATAACATATTTCTAGATTATAATATATATTTGTATATAGAAAATCCAATGAGTCCATTGAAAACCAGTTAGAAAAAATAAAGGCATTCAGCAAGGATGAGGATACAAGATCAATTTACCCAAATCAATTTTATTTATAATACCATTAGACAATTCATATACATCTTCCTTAAAATGAGTATCTTTATTTCAAGGGACACCACCAAGAGACAAGACAGCCCACAGATTGGGGGAAAATACTTGCAAATCATGTAAAATATTTTCTCGTGTAAAATACTTTTTCATGATATAAAGAAGGTGGAAAGAAAGTGAAAGTTACTGCCTTTAAACCCTGGAACACAGAGTTTAGGATTCCATTAATGTTCCAGCCAACTTTGCCATCACCCATAGTCCACAATGATTTTTCAATTAGCTGAACTCTAGATCATTTTTATCTGTATCTATGTTGTTAGACTCATCCTAGACTCTCAATTTTAATGTAGCTGATAATAGTATCTTTCTGGTTGCTTTTTCAGCTGGCTGCAAGAAAATTACTAATTTTTATTTCTTTCACTAGGCTACGTCACCAAACTTGCTGGGGAACAATTTCAATCTATTCTCCTTAGATACAAAATCGTAGTACGTGGGTGATAATTTCCTCTAATATCAATGCCCATTTGCATTTAATATCTTATTGTCAATCTTCTAGAATTTTTTTACCTTGTTGCATGGTGATGAATGATTTATTATAACCACTGATCTTCAGGAAAATAGTCTCAAGTTAATATTAAAAAATGTGAAGCCATTAACAGATGTTTCCTGTGTTTTACAATTAAACAAGCCCATTTGGGTTTAGCACATTTATTTCAAGTTTGTCTTGAATGGGTCACTCTAGCCCATCATCCCCAAATTTCAGCATCCAGCTGAAAGCTTCGGCAGGGGAAGAAATGGAGGGAAAGACGAGGACCACAGAATAAGTTTAAAGGGGGGCTTTATTCAAATTTAGAAAACCTAAATAAGGGACCAGGAAAAAGATTAATACAAAGTAAAAATCAAAATCAACAAGTAACTATAAACCAGAGAGTAACACTACGGGAGGGGGGAGGGGCGGGGAGAGGAAGGATAAGGATCAAAATAAGGGGGGGTGCAATTGTATGGGGAATAGGACCAAAATGAAAATGCATACATTGTGCAAAGATGAAAAATGATGTAAGATTTATATAAACTTATTAAAACAGGGGGGGCTTTATTGCGTTCCCTGGCTAACTTCACCGACCCAAGGTGGGGGTCGGTGAAGCCGCGCATATTGTCAGGGGAAGGCAGGTTTTCATAGGATGGGAAGAGGGAAACGGGCTTTTGCAGGTAAGGAGGAACAGTTGTTTTCCCATGGTATCAGCAGGTCCTCATTCTCGCCCCTAGGTGGGCTTCCTACCTTTTCACCCTAGTAACTCTGGTTCCCGCCTGACCTTTCACTGCAACTTTTGTAAATTCTTGTATCATTCAAGTCTAGCTGTTACTTCTCTTTTCCTAAAAGGAGAACTGTCTGCTTATTCATGTGGTGTGACCAAGTTCCCCTGCAGTCCTCTATCTGGACAGCCTGTTTATCCTTGGTGATCCTGAGTAAGTGAAATGCCATAAGGACACAGGAAATAGGGAAAGTGCAAGCCGAGTAGAAAGAATGTGGTAATAAATCTATCTGTTCTCCACGCACAAGTGC